TTCGCCTAAGCATTACTATTAACTTAAATTATAAAGTCTTCTTTTCTTTATTAATGTTGATGTTAGTGGACAATTTTATATAAAATATATACGAAAATAATACTGTCTAGCTCAACATTGTCAGACGTAGGGCCAGAGGAACTGACAGAGAATGGGGCAGACAAAGACAAACATGTTAATGCTAAAGAGTTTTTTTTTTTTTTTTTAAATATTAAATACCTTTCTTTAAGTAACCATAAGAATGTTATAAAATTTTTCACAACTTTTATTCTTGCTTATTATTTTTTTTAAGGGTAAATACTCAAGTATGTTTTTTTTTTGTTATATTCAATGTACTATATATCTTTTTTTTCTCTTTCTGTTATTGTTGTTAGCTTGTGGACACAATTCACAGGCAAACACTAATTCTCCCAATTGAGCCCAAATTATGCAGGCGCAGAACGTACAAAAGAAATGTAGAAGTAATTGGGAGTATCTGTGTATCTGTATTTGTATCTGTATTTGTATCTGTAACCATATCTGTATCTGTATCTGTATCTGTATCTGTATCTGTATCTGTATCTGTATCTGTATCTGTATCTGTATCTGTATCTGTATCTGTATCTGTATCCGTATCTGTATCTGTATCTGTATCTGTATCTGTATCTGTATCTGTATCTGTATCTGTATCTGTATCTGTATCTGTATCTGTATTTGTATCTGTATCTGTATCTGTATCTGTATCTGTATCTGTATCTGTATCTGTATCTGTATCTGTATCTGTATCTGTATCTGTATCTGTATCTGTGTCTGTGTCTGTGTCTGTGTCTGTGTCTGTGTCTGTGTCTGTGTCTGTATCTGTATCTGAACCGTATCTGTGTCTGTGTCTGTATCTGGGTGCGGAACCCACGTTTGTTTGTTTGTTTAGAAACGTATAAATAAGTTGAAATGTTCGTTTGTGGAGGCAACTTCAGGAAAAGCGCCACAACGACGAAAACCAGAAGCCGACAAGGCAAGGCGCCTCCGTAAATTGCCACGTGGTCGACATAATCAATGATATTTTATTTTAGCAAAAAACGCTACAAATAGCAAATTACCACAAATGCTCAGATGGTAAACTGATTAAAATGTTAACCTTGGGTTGCTTTTTGGACTTTTGAAAATTTCCCAGATGATATAGAAAGGAAATAGGTTCAATGAAAGTGTGCGCTTCCTATGATCTTGCGATACATTTTATTTTAAGACACCGATTTATTGGGCAATAGCCTTCTCAATAAATGCTAAAATAAAATAAATCAATAATTTCACGACGTAGAAATTTGTAATTTTCATTTAATTCATTCATTCAGTTTGAAAACTGAAAATTAACTAACAAGAAGATAAGTCTCTTCCTACTTAAAGGAGACTTAGCTTATATTACAGAATAGGATTTTAATAGACTTTGTAAGGCTTACCACAAACATGGCGCGTCGCTTGTAGTGCGTGCAACCAAAACGCAATGATTCCGGCGTCGTTGGCTGCGTTGCATCAATATTGTTGCACTTGTTGCTGTCGTGTGGAAATTGCTCGTTTTGCTGTTGCTGTTGGTGCTGCTGTTGCTGCTGTTGCTGTTGCTGTCGCTTGATGTGGGCGACAACAGCAACATCCTTGATGGCATTGTTGCTAGCCTCCATGGCGGATTCGACGTGATTCCTATTACAGTATTTGCTGCTGTTGCTGTTGTTGCTGTTGCTGTTGTCAACAATATTGCTGTTGCTGCCATCAAATTTGAGAGCCGGCGTTGAGTGTGATTTTCGCAAGTGAACCGCAGCAGCAGCAGCTGTTGCTGTGCTTGTCGCTGTCCCTGTGACTGAGGCGGGGGTGTTGGCAGACGTTGAACACGACGCTGCGCACGATGCCAGCGCCGTTGGCGACATAATCAGCTGTTGTCGCTGTCGCTGCAGCTGTTGTTGTTGCTGTTGCTGTTGCTGTTGTTGTTGCTGTTGTCGCGCTATCTCAGTTACAGTTGCTGTAGCTAAAATAGCAAGCAACAGTGATGATGATGATGATTGTGCTATTGCTGTTGTTGTTGCTGCTGCTGATGCTGCTGTTGTTGTTGTTGGTGACGCAGCCTCCAGTGAGGTCGCCAGCGACTGCGACGACAAAGTCGTTGACGATGAATTTAAATTGAGTTGATTGAGCTCTTTTGTATTGGTAAATGTTTCTACATCAATGTTGCTTTTATTGCTGCTGTTGTTGTTGTTGCTGCTTTTGCTGTTCTTATTGTGGTTTTCACTTAGCTATACGTATTCGTTGCTGCCGCTGCTGTCGCTCAAATTTGTTGCAGCCCCTGTTGCCCAGCCAATTGTTGCTGCTGTTGGTGCTGTTGCAGTCGTCGCTGCTGTTAATTGCTACCATCGACGCTGACTTTTCAATTGCTTCAATATTTAAATGATTTGCCGCTGCCGTTGCGACATCGACTTTGTCTTTGTTCGTTTTGGAGCCGGGCCTGTTATTGTCTTCGGGCTTCTGTTGCTGCCTTTGGCTCATCAACAACAACAACAACAACAACTGTAGCGTCTCTTGATATTGTTGTTGCTGCTGCTTGTGCTGTTACTTTTGATGCCCTCTGCAAACTTTCGTTTGTGTAACTTTTTATATTCAATTCGCGCTTCGTCGACGCCAGCAAATATGTTGCTACTTCCAAAGCTTTAATAGGCAACAGTGTGCCAATGTTCATTAGTTTGGCAAATTAAAAATGTTATAGCAACAAGATTATGTAGTTGTATTAAACATTGTTGGCATTGCTCAGCTTTTTATATTATTCCAAACAACATAAAAACACACAGATTTCTATTTTGTAGAAAAAATCGTAGAACAAGAATTCATATTTTATATTATTTTAATCGAATCGGGTAATGTATTGGTTAAAATTGGTTAAAAGATTCATATTTCATTTGAAACTTATTTTAAACAATATATATATAGCAATATATAGAATGGGCAGAGTTTTATATAAACATTAATATACACATTTTTTCTATTCATAAATATATCATATTTATTTAAATATTGTTTCACTTCCTCTGACACTTGATATTGAAAAACTTTTGACTTGAGTTAATGTTATTTTTGTGCACAGTTTTAATAGACTTGTCCCAGTGTGCGACGACGGCACACTTGTTAATATATAATGACGAGCTGCGAGTGGTACGTTGAGACTTTCGCTTGCTTTTTTGACTGTGTTCGGCCACGACCGAAGCTGAGCTTTTCAACTATGAATGAAGACGCTATAAAACATGACTCTCATGCACACATACACACACCCACACACGCACACACGCACACACGCACAAGCAGACATACATTCGAGTACGCTCATACAGAGATACTATGCTATGTAAATTAACGATTATTTGCTAACATCTTATATGTACTGTATTTAAATACATATAAAATGCACTTATATGTATTTTTATTATCTTGCGTTTCGACAAGAAAAGCCCTGAGTCTTGTTTACTTAGGTTTTTTTTTTTTTATATTTTTGCAATTATAAAGGGAACACGCCGACAATAAATATTGAAACTGTGCACAAATTAAATACGCGAACGCGAACCGATAAAAAGGCCAAGCGGAGCACCAGACAGTCGATTGAACAGAAAACCCGCTAAGCAACAACAACAATAATAACAACAACAACAACAATATCAGCAACGAAACCCGGCCCGAAATACGGATTTCGTTTATTAACTTTCCATGTTTACGCACGCACGCACGCATGTACGCACGCACGCAGGCGCACACCAATACACAAATACACACACATACATATGCAAAAAGCATGGAATACAGCTTGCATTCTGTTTTAAAACGAACAAAATAAGAACAAGCATGTTGAAGACATTTTGATAATCGGGTTTCATATTTGCAATTACTTTATCAACATATTATATATATATATATATATATGTGTGTGTGTGTGTATTTGTGTGTACTATTTTGTTTTTGTTATTTTATGCAATTTGTTGTTGAACGTGTTTTTTTTTTAGCCCTTTCTTCGTGTGCATGGTAAATATTAAAGGTTTTCCGTTTAAATATCAAACTGTCATCATCATTTTGTACTATTTGAGAATTTTATGTATTTTTTGTTAATTATAATTTATTAACAATAAAAAATATAGCAGTGAAACACACCAGCGAATACCACAACAACAACGACAACAACAGCAACAGGCGTCAATTAAATTAAATAAATGAGTGCACCGCTCAGCGGTTAAACGTTCGCGCGCTCGTCTTGTTTTGCTTCGCGCGGGCTCCAGCTTTCAACTGACGACGCGACGATGCCGAGCATTGAACTACACGTGTGGGAGCTCCAAGAGAGTGAGAGAGAGAGAGAGAGAAAGAGAGAGAGATACTCTTTTGGGCTCGTTTCAAAGAAATCGAATAATACAAATTTCTACCTCATTTGCATGTTATTTGGGGAAATGCTTATGTATATATATGAAAAAGCAGTTAATTTATTATTCAAATATTATTGATATTATTCTATCCTGCATTTATTTCTGATCTCCCAACCGTTACTCTCCGCTTTGGGCACTTGTTGTTGCTGGCGCAACAGCCACATTATCTAAAGCTTTCGATATTGCGAGATAAAACGTGCTTTTGGTAGCATCTCCAATGCCGCTAAAGCTTAAATATGTCAATCGCAAACATAATTTATATTGTTAAATATTGTTAAAATTCGAGTCAGCTTTTAATTATTTATACAATTATTTGAATGTTTTATCCCGTACAGGTAATTTGTACATGAAATTAACCAATTTTCGGTTTTCTTTTATATTTTAGTTTTTTATTAGTCCTAGCTAAAAACGTTAGCAATATCGATATACTTTTTTAAATTATGTTAAGCGATGAATCGATCCCGAGTGCCTTGAAAGTAGTGTTGGGTAGTGCACTTTAGGTGCCAATGAGCTGTCATTTTTAAGGCACGGAAAGTTGTTATACTCCCCAAATAATTTAACAATTGACGAACAACACTAATCGTTGTAACAAAATTAATCAGGTTTCGAATAGATGATTTTCGCTCGACAGGACATCTACTTATAAGAGAAATCAAGTCGATGCAGAAACTGTTAATCATATTATGGAAATCGAAATACTTAACAAAGAAACATTTGCAGGAGTAACATCGTTTACAGCTTCTTTAAAAACGACCATCAAAAATTATAAGTCAAAATCAAGTCAGCAAAAGCCTCAAAACTATTTCATCCAAAGTCAGGGCCAATTATAAAGTTGTAGTTGTACTTAAATTTATTTGGTTTTATACTAACAAACATAAGTAAATGCATTTAAAAGTGACCGATTCCTTTTCCGATACCAAGTACCTTAAATCGATCGCCGCTATTTTGACGCACATCTTAGATACTTGTAAGTCGATTGTACTCTGGTATTTTTTCAAACTTTAAACAAATTTATCGATAGATATTTTGCTGCCGGCATATGCAAAAAATACTGCCAATAGCCGTACATAAACAAAACAATTAAAAACATGGCAACATGTCTCTCTTTTCAATATCAAACCGAGTGATAAACAAATCATTAATTAAAAACTGCTTAAACTATTGCCAAATCGCAACTGCGCTGCGCCCAAAGAAGGGCAAGTCATCGCGCAAAGAGGTGAAACACTGCTACCAATAAATGTTTACATAACTTTTAATCGTAAATAATATACCAGGCACAATACTTTTCGGATGCCAAAAGAGTGAGAACTGTTGGCGGCAAAGGCGGAGACGGCTGCGTCTCGTTTCTGCAACTTTGGTGCAACGAACGCGCCGGACCCGATGGCGGCGACGGCGGTCATGGTGGCCATGTCATCTTCCAGGCCTCCAACGATGTGCGTAACTTTAATCACGTGAATAGCGTGCTGCGCGCCAGCGAAGGCGGCATTGGCAGCGCCAAGGATTGTCATGGCAAGAATGCCAAGCATACGGTGATTAAAGTGCCAATTGGCACAGTTATACGCAATGCCGAAGGTCTGATTGTGGCCGATTTGGCCAATGCTGATCTAATGTTTGTGGCCGCACGTGGCGGAGCTGGCGGCAAGGGCAATCGGTTCTTTACCACCGACACGGAGACCACTCCCAAAGTTTGTGAATATGGACCGCCCGGCGAGGATTGCAGCTACATTCTGGAGCTGCGCAGCATGGCCGAAGTGGGTCTGATTGGTTTTCCCAATGCCGGCAAGAGCACACTACTGAACGCGCTGACGCGTGCCAAGCCGAAGGTAGCCCCATATGCTTTTACAACGCTGCGCCCACATCTGGGGACTGTGCAATACGATGATTACGTGCAGCTGACCATTGCGGATTTGCCTGGCCTGGTGCCGGATGCACATCGCAACCGTGGGCTGGGCATACAGTTTTTGAAGCATGCCGAGCGCTGCACCTTGTTGTTATTTGTGCTCGATGCCAGCTCGCCGAATCCGTGGATGCAGTATCATCAACTCATGCACGAACTGGAAAAGTTTGGCGGCAGTTTGGCGCAACGGCCGCAACTGGTGGTGGCCAATAAAATGGATGTGCCAGCCAGTGCCGGGAATTTTGAGCAGTTGCAGCAACAGCTGAGACAACCAAACCTTCTGGGCATCAGCGCCAAAATGGGACACAATCTGGCGCAACTCTTGAGCAGCATACGTGCCGCCTACGATCGACACAAGGCACAGGAAGAGGAACAGAGAAGAGCTTAACTGATTTTCTAAATATAAACATTTAGCTGTAATTATTTACTTAAATATACATATACAAAATTAAACCTATTTATTAGACACCCTCCTCAGACGTGGGCAGCCAGAAGGCCATGTTTGTGCACGCCGAGGCTAGCATCATGTACTTGGGATTAAACTGCACACATTGCACGGGTCCGGGATGATCGCCATTTAGCACGGAGACCTTGTTGCCAGTGTCGGCATTCCATATATGCACGCGGCCATCGGTGCTGCCGGAGAAGATGAACTGCGAGTCCGGGCTGAAGCTCGCCTCAATGGCAATGCCCTTGTTGTTCGGATAGCCTGTGAATGTTTGCAGCGGTGTGCCATGGAAGGCGTCCACAAGCCGTATAACTGAGCCATTTGTACTGATCAATATGGTCTTGCCGTCACGCGAAAACTTCAGGCCCGTCCAGTCGCATTCCTTCTCCTGGTTGAGCTTGAACGTGACAAAGGGGCCCTTATCGAACGAGCGCAGATCGTACAGTTTGATGCTTTCCGAATTGACGCCGGCTGCAAAGATGAGACCCTCGGGATCGTAGGCGGCAATGGGTCGGCCCGATAGATGCATCAATCCTTGGCAATTCGGTGAACGCAAATCCCACAGGCGCAGCGTTTTGTCCAATGAGCCAGACAGAAAAGTATCCTCCACTGGTGAAATGCATAGCGAGATGACTTTTTTTGTGTGACCGGGAAAGTAACGCAAATATTTGTTGTCATGCAGACTCAGATATCGTATAGTGTCATCCACCTTTGTCGAGCTATGTATGGCCGTATTGTTGGCATGCGTAAAGTGTATCAAATCTACACCATATTTTTTCGAATTCACTGTGCGCGATTGTGTTCCCTTCTCACAATCGTATATAACAATTTGGTCGTCCTCGCTGCAAGAGATCAGATGCTCTCCGTTCGGTGCAAAGTCAATAGCGTTGATTTTGTCAGTATTTTCGCGAAAAATCTTGGCAACCTTAAAGCTGCGCACAACTGAATCAATTAGTTTGATTTTCATTTTGACAAACGTTTGTTTTTAATCACGGCACAATGTATATTTTCTATTCTTTTTGCGACAAGCCACTAGTGATGCGCAATGTGCCGCAACGAGGGCTGTTTCTATTTGTTATCGATAGGTCTGCTATATCGATACATTTGGCATCATATATACTTTTTCAAATGCCTTAAATAAATATTGAGCGCAAATATTTAAATAAATCTGTTGCATCTACTATTTATATATATATGCGTAAAATAAATATTGCGAGTAAATAGTAATTATTTATATAAATATATATAAAATATGGGGTACCCAATCAAGAATAAAACAAAATATTCAGTTTAAAAAATATGAATATAAATATTCAATTAACAAAAGCAAGCAACAATTTATTTTATACACACATAGTCGTGCGTTATATATACAAAAATATATATTGTAAGCACATATCATTGGTCTACTTTCGCAGGTAGCGTAATTTCATAGGTATTATTATTACCTAATAACTCTTTAGGGTCGACATAGTTGATACCCTCTTTTCCACGTGCAAATGGTGTTAGGCCATTGGTTTGTAAGTAAAAATCGCCATGAATACTAAAATTGAAATCTCAAATTAAATATAAATTTATAGCCGCGTATCCACTTCAACTTACTTTGTGGGACAGTTATGACCCATGTATATAGGTTGCTCAGATTCAACAATTTTCTTCTGCTTAAAATCGTCCCAGCTTTTGGCGGCCACCGCATCGAACTTAATTGGAAAACGATCGGATACGCTTTCGGCCCAGAACCACCAACTGCGCCGGTGGCTAGACAAATCATTATCGCTGAGCATTTTATAATTGCGTTTCGGGCAACCCGGCTGCAATGTTTTGCCACCATTTGGCCAAAAGTCTGCGGTGCCCGTGCTGCTCGGTGCACCATATAGCCAGGCATCTGTGTGTATAACGTCCACAAATTCGGCATCATGTTTGTTTAGATGGGAGCCCAAGCCAGCGGTGAGGTAGAAAAGCGGAAATGCCGGATCCAAGCCGGTTATTCTAGGAAAGTATGATGTCATATTATTTACGATAAAAGCGATTTAACACCGCAAACTCACCTTTTTATTTTCATGACGCCTTTGGTGCGTTTAAAAATCTCCCGACCTATAATCCCCGCCATCTGACCACCCAGCGAGTGACCCACAATATGGAATTTCTCTATGTCCAAACCATGCTCGAACATGTCCAGCATAACTTTAGCCAGCTCTGGTCCCAACTGTTTGGCATTGACCACCGCATCGAATATGTAATTACCATCCGCCAGCTCGCCCCAGTCCAGCACAATTAGATTTGTATCATTACGCTCCAAATATGCCTCGGCGATAACATGTATGCTCTCGACATCCGGATCCTCCAGATAGCCATGCAAATATAGTACCGTATTTTTGCTCAAATCCAAATTCTCATCTTCCAGCAAGTTCTTGGAGTCATGCAGATCATAGATATCACTATCAGCTACGCTGGGTCTGATAATATAACAACAAAAATTATGTTGGTTTGTGTGAATACCAAAAGGTTAACAAATGCATACAAACCCATAGTACAATATGAATTTGGCTGTAGTTAAATCTGCCCTGGAGGCTTTCAGGCCACATAATAACCCTGAAGAAGTAGTACAAAAGCAAAAAAAAATAAATAAAAATAAAGTTAGTTAATTACGTAAATATTTGATGATTGTGGGAAAGGTAAATGGTCAAAGATAATAAAATTTCACAATGCTGGCATATTAATTAAGATTGTGGGTTTATCTACGCCAATACACGAATTGCTAGCTTGGATAGTCAGCAATTTTTTTTTTATTTTAGTATAAAAAATCCTTCTCTTTTTTTTTATTTTTTAATCCAAAAAAAAAAGTGGAATGAATGTGCACTTTTTATAATATTACATTGTATACATTGGAAATTTCTAAATAAACACTTTTGTGTATTATTCCAGTACAAATATAAGTGTTGAATCAATTTTCATTTCATTTGACTTACTGGATTTATTTTTAATGGCTTTGTGCATATTTCTGCTGTAAGAAACGAAATATGAATATTACATTAATTAATGGCTTTGATAAATATTTACATTTCTAAAGATTGTTGAATTTATATTAAAACGTTTTCTATATTTGTATATTTTATTTCCGGGATCTCTCCTGTTCCGCTTAAGCACTCGACCACTTCCAGTCGACTGCACTGATTAGTAATAACTGAGCGATAATCCATCAAATAATTCCCATTGAATAAATCTAATTAAATTCTAACGTTTCATATGGGTTTCACGATAAGATAGTTATATGGCCATAAATATATATATATACACAGTGAACGCACTTTTAAGCGAACGATTTCAAATTCTTGTCTAACGGAGGTTCCCCAAAGTAAGAAATAAGGATTGCAGCTGTCCGCTAGCAGAGCTTTCACTGTGTACACATACAGGCATACATGCGAGTGGAAATTCCAATGTACATAGTATGTACATATATACATGTGTATATTTATGTGTATGTATGTTTGCATGTTTGCCGATTTTTAAATCGCAGTCAAGCAAGCTGCGCCAAGCACTCGGTATAATTTTTGTAACGGCATTAACTGCACAATAAATGTCTTCGGTGCCGTTATAAAAATATATAAAATACCAGTACTTCAATTTACATTTATGACCGGCTGTCAGAGACAGACAACAGTCAAGAGCGTCGTCAAAGCTGAGGCAGCGGCAGCGGCAGCGGCGTCGGGGTCGGCGGCGTTTACCTTTTAATGAAACGCGCCACTTGCGCTCAAAGTGCGATAGCCGCTGCAGCATATCCGTGTAGTTAATAAATGTATGGCGCTTATAGGGGCAAAGAAAAAGCGAATTTTAAATAAACATACAAATACTTGTATGTAATAAATAACCGTAACATAAATTGAAGTGCTGTGGCCTTAACTGCACTATCTGAATTAAATCATAACGGTGCCCTTTGCACACACACAAACACACACATACACGCGCGCGCGCTAGTTGACATATTTATATTTACATACACACTTCACACTGTGTGTATTTGTATACAAATGTGCGGCGAATTAGAAAATTATTTATTGGCTTTCTCTTTCGTTTTATGCACACAAATACACACCCAGTTTGTGCCAACAGCGTTTACTTAACCATCAATAGCACTCAATAATATTTGCCATGTAATTTATATTAAATATTAGGCAAGCACTCGCAACCAACGCGCAATGAATCTAAATTCGTTGGGTTTGTAAACTTCATCAACCTGCCTGTACGTCAAGGTACAACGCGTCGCAACGCAATGAGAAGCGCAACTGATCTGCGCCAGTAATCACACACTCACTCTTTCGCTCTTGCTCTCCACACGTTCGCCAGCTCTCCACAAAATATGCACACGCTCACCACACACACACACAGACACGCTTTCTTAAAAATGGCTCAACGAGTATCATACAAAAAAAACTTTGGTATGACAATCGAATTGTGCAAACAGAAACTCCCAGAAAATAGGTATTTAGCTGGGTCTTTCAGTTATAGTTATAGCTGCCAGGCTTTAAAACTGTTTACAGCTATCTAGTGGCAGATTTGCACCGAATGATCATGTATAACATCTCAACATTTCGAGTTCGAAAGGGATTCGACTTCTGTTTTACATTTTATATTCAAGGTATTATCGTCATATGTAGATTTCTGGATAAATAATAGAGAAAAATCTGGACAACATTCTTTTACAATAAATTTTATTTTGCATTCACATGCGAATAACCAATACATTTGTTTTCAAAGTCTACACATTTTTGTTTGTTTTCGTAATGAATTTATGCTTATGTGTTAAATTATTTATTTAATAAGTATGTAAGTAATATATTCTCATGTGTCGAGCGCTTGTGGCATTTGCTCCATTTGCTTGACTTATGCATTTTGAAAATGTTAAATATGTAGGCTCCGGGATTTTGCTTTTCTCAGTGATCCTTGCAGTTAGTCGTCTCCAGTTCTCAATGTAAAGGATTTCTCCATCTGATTTTAACTACAAGTTTCCGTTTTTAAGTGTTGTTGCTACACAATAATTATATTTTTGTTGCCAGCGTGTGTGAAAAACATACATTTTAAAAATAGAATAAAAAAGTATACAAGTTGATTACGCTGTAATAAGAATGATATTAGAGTGTATAAACATTCGACATGGTGGAGGCGTGTTTGTGGAACCGGGAAAGAGACAGAGAAAAATGATGAAACAAGAATTAGTTAATAATATGGTTTATATTTAAGGTTTCTTTCTTTCTTTTTATATATATTGTTTTTTTTTTTTTGGTTTGCTATTTGCAGTAACGCACACAATTTATTCGACATGGACAAATTTGGAGACACTAGGAATTACATGGGGTTTATGCTTGGTCCAATTTGCGAATTAAATACAGCACTGGCTACACACACGAGGTGTTCACACATTTGGTTCACACAGTCTGGTTTGGCTACTCATCCTCTAACATTCCGAAACACTCTTCACTTGCTGCTCCCCCCCAGCGACGATGTCATTATTCTCGGTATTAGTGTTCAGCTCGAGGACAACGCCAACAGCCTCAGCCGCTGCGGACATGGGCGGCGGCTCAACGACCAGCTTAGAGGCCAGGGCCGCCTCAAGCTTCAGGCCCATGCAGGGCGGCACAGAGGTTCTAAAGACATTCAGTTCCATTTCTAAGGATTCGATATATATATTATACTAGCAGCATATGGAAAAGTTATTCTATCTGTGCTGGAGCTGTGCTGGCGTGACGTGTTTAAACTGCTTGTGTTTGTCTCTTGGACCCATTGGGCTCTATGCTTACCAGCTGCTATTCCAGCAATTGCCTGTGCAGCGAAATGCTTAACATCTACATCGGCATCAGCATTCAGTTTGTCCAGCGTCGGTTTCACTTGCGCATCAATAACGCTCGCCTCCAGGAACGGTGAAATCTTCTGCAATGTTTTGGCCACATTGAAGCGCACATTGGCTACCGGATCGGCGGCGAGTAGCAAAACTGTCGGCAGCAACAGTTTTGTGGTTATTTCCGTTCCGCAAACCTCGGCCAAAACATTGAGACAGAAAAGGCAGGTCATTCCTAAAAGGTATTTAGAAATCAAATAATTGTATATTTATTTTTATATAATAAGTATGTGTGCTTACTGTGCAAATAGTTCTTGTTGCGTGACATGACTAATATCATTGGAATAATGGCCTGCTCGGCCCAAGGTGCACCAAACTGTTCAACAAGTTTCTTCATATTTAATGTGGCTGCCTCACGAATAGCATAAACATGATCATTCAGCCAGCCCATGCAGAGACCGCGCAGTTTCTGATCGAAGAACTCCTGACCCAGCTGGCCAGCCAACGCGGGCATGTACTCAATGATTGCGAGGCGTACGCGCCACTTGGAATCCTCAGCCAACTCAACAATGGCGGGTAGTAGGGACTGTTGAGTATATCAAATAGTAGAATACTTTATACTATTAAATTTAGGACAGAGTTTCCACATTACCTGCGACAGCTGCTGAATGCCAATGACATCGTTGACGCAGTCCAAATTTGAGATGATATTAAGACGCACTTCCGGGCACTCGTCCTTTAGCTGTATGAGAAACAGGGGCAGCAGTTGTTCGACTGTTTGATAAGCGCCAAGCATGGGACTCAGGCCCATAATAACAGAGGCCAGAGCTGATTTGACATGTGGATTGGGATCGGAAACCAAATCGCGCACATATGGCAAAATGGAGCTCAAAATTATTTGCACCTGATTTGCCTTATCCAGGCTGGCACAAAAGTCCTTGACTTTGGTGGCGACAGCGGCGCGCACCTCAGCTTCGGCATCTTTGAGCAGATATTGAAAAGCGGGCACGAGATCAACACGTGTGATCTCTGGACCCACAGCCTTCTGTAGATCGACAAACTTCTCGGCGACCATGTAACGCACGCGCCAGGATGAATCGCTGGCGCACTGACGCAGTGTGGGTAACACAAGCTGGAAAAAGTAAGAGAATATATATATGTGATGTATGCCCAAAAAGTGCTCGACTGCTTCACTAACATGTTCAACATCGTCCTGTGGCAGCAATTGAGCAATGCTGACGCACGCCTCCACAGCTAACAGTCGCACAGAGTCCTGATCGTCCTGCGCCAGTTGCACAAAATTCGGTATCAAGTCCGATTTGAGATACTCTGTCTCCACCACCTTAGCGAATTCGCCTAATTTATTGGCTGCGGCGCGTCGTACCATGGGCGTCTCATCCTGGCACAATTTACGGAAATTGGCACGCAATTCGGCCTTGACCGGCTGTGTGACGCGTGGATAGCACACGGAGAAAAGGCCACAGGCCGAGGTGCGCGAGGTGAACCAATCACCGGAGACTAAACGCTGCAGCGTCGGCACGACATGTATCTCCAAATCCAGAGCACTGTGCTCCGCAGCTACAGTGCGCAGAGATTCGACTGCCTTGTCACGTACCACCGTCTCCTCAACGGTGGCCAAGCTCTCCAGGGGCGGCAACAAGTACATGGCATATTCCGGCCCACCCACAAGACCTGAGAATAAATATATATATGCACATCTATAATAAATTGTTTGAGGTTAAGGGCCATATTTTCTTACTTGTAAAATTGCCCAACTGATCGGCCAATGCCAAGAGCACCTCATCTTCATCGTATATGGTCTCAGTTAGGAACGGTATCAGCTCGGAGCGTGTGCGTTCCTCGCCCAAAGCGAGCGCTATTGTTGATAGCTTTTTGATCGAGTTCAAACGCAACTATGAAAGGCAAATAATTATTCAATTTAGCATGTCTCTAATTAAACAAAATACAAAACAAACGAAATAAACACAGTTCTCATATTCGGTGCGCCGAAGGTTAAATACCCTTGCACACATAAAATAGCTGTCGCTTATTTCGTTGCAGATATAAGTAAAATAATAAGATTTTCTCAACTGATTTTTGTATGACAGTTATATAGTGGTCCAATCCGGCAGACGCCGACATAAGTTTTTAAGCTATATCGATTTTTTATTTTTTTTTTTTTTACGCTGTTGATGCTGTTGATATACATATATACTCTATGGAGCCGGAGATGTCCCTTTACGATACGTTTTGCAGGGGGAAGGGACGACCACAGCTCCACCTATGCACGCACACACAGACAGATCTGCGCTCACGCACACGACTTGCTATTCACAGTGACGCATTTTTTTGCATAAATGTGTACATACCCATGCATATATGCAGATATTTGCACTAGTTGAGCAAATCGTAAATGAGTTAATTAGCTTAACAATAACTAACCTGCACATCCTCATTTTTCAATTCATCAATTAATACCGCAATGGGATAAAGAGAATCATCGACAGATTTGTCGCTTGCTGCCATTTTCTTTTCTCACACACACAATTGTACAAAAAATCGGTTTTTTCTATTCCGCACGAAATACACAGGAGGCCCAATAACGATTTAACTGTTTACAGTTATTATTAAATGCCTTCGTACAGTTTTTTGATTACAACCTATTCGAAAATGTCCACAATTTCAATATTTTCTTTGATTGATTTTCCAGTGAAAATGCGATTCGTTTCCGTGCAAATTTTTTTTTATTCTACGAAATGACACAACGAGACAAGAACGATGCTACTCGATACTTTCAGTTAACAGAGCTGCTCGTCCGGTAAACAGTAATGCTCCTCATTTAACGACTAGCAAATGAAAAATGCCAAAAAATAAAAATAATTAATTTTTATATTTTAGTTTTCTAAAAACGAGACAAACTCAGTTAATTTCAACAACTGATCATCGCTTGCAATACGTGGAGTTGCCTCCTTCATTTTCGGTAGCAAAATTTGCTTATCACCATCCTGTTCGCGCGTCCAATCCAAGCAGGCATTTTTCAGTTCATCCGGCGTCAACTGGGCCATTTCCATCAGATTCTGCTCGTATATGGATACATATGCAGTAGCGGTCAGGTTGAGCAGCTCCTCGCGTTGTTTAACTGCAATAAGACAAATCTTTTAGTCAACTAGTTGGGCATATCATTTGTTCTGCCCACCCAGAAGATCATCAATGATTGGCTTATTAGTCTCGGACCAGTCATATTTTATATGCTTGAAGAAATCTGCATAGCTGTTGTGCTGCAGGGCGAGATTTAAGAGATTTAGTTGTGCCAGTTCTTTGTTTTGTTCCTTCAGATTATTTGATATACGCATCCAAAGTAATTTTGCATTGGCTCTATAAGCATACAATTGGTTAAAACATAGTGAAATATAATATATTCACACTCACGCACAGTTTGTTTTGATAAAGATAAATCGCCATTAGCTGCTGGTAAATTTCAGCGCCCGGTGATATGTTCTATGACAATATGCAGGTGGGCTTTACATTAATATCGCTGATTTGACATTATATTGAAATGCTTACCTCGAGCTCCTCATTTTCCAGCTTACTCAGCGTATCACTGTATTTATCTTGCTGCATTTTTTTTTCTGAATAAAGTATAAACAATTGTTAGGACAAGTTTTTCAGTGAGCAATACCTATGTACATATATAACGAGTGGCGAGTCTGTTGCTGGTTGGCATGCCGCTGTTAACTAGGGAGAAATTATGTTAAGTTACGAATGTAAATGCAACTCTGCGCGGTTTTTGTAGAGTTTAGTTGTAGAGTGTTGTCCCACAAGTCTCCACTTTCTTTTCGGTGTAAAAAACTAAGCTAGTAACATCATGGGTCGTATGCACGCTCCTGGGTAGTTGATTTAAATATTATCTATAAGCGAGTATTGTTGTAAAATGTGTTTTCCTAACGTGCCATAACGAAACCAACGCAATTGCAATATTATATCTGCACATAATGCCCTAGTTTCAATCAAGTTTTTAGCCACCATGGCAAGCACATGTTGCAAACGAATACTCTCGCTCTTCTTCTTCTCATTGTCGTCATTCACTGGCTAAATTAACAAATACGATTTGCTTCGCAGCAAGGGTATATCCCAATCAGCACTGCCCTACAGACGCACAGTCCCATCGTGGCTGAAGCTGAACGCTGAGGATGTAAAGGATCAGATCAAGAAGCTCGGCAAGAAGGGCCTGACTCCTTCCAAAATTGGTATTATTATTGTATTTGTTTACGGTTTGAGGTTATGTTAATGTGTTGAACTTTTCAATCATTTCAGGCATTATCCTGCGTGATTCGCATGGCGTTGCTCAGGTGCGTTTTGTCAATGGCAACAAAATTCTGCGCATCATGAAATCGGTGGGCCTCAAGCCCGACATCCCCGAGGATCTATATCACATGATCAAGAAGGCTGTGGCCATCCGCAAGCATTTGGAGCGCAACCGCAAGGATAAGGACGGCAAGTTCCGTTTGATTCTGGTCGAGTCCAGAATTCACCGACTGGCTCGCTACTACAAGACAAAGAGCGTGCTGCCCCCCAACTGGAAATACGAGTCTAGCACCGCATCTGCTCTTGTTGCCTAAGTTTTCAAATATGTGAGTGCATTCACTGTACGTGATGTACGTGAAGAACGAACACAAAAGGAAAATAAAACTAAAATATTACAAAAAAAATAAAAACAAACAAACAGAATAATCTGTAGGTGAATAAAATGTACATATGTATATTAACTTTTGTATATCTGTATAGAACACAAGGGGGTGCGGATCCGGCCTGAGTAGGCGGCTTTTTCGCTCGTTGGTTGCCAATAACAACTTGTTTTACATAGTTAAATAAAGCGCATATGCATCTATTTCAACAAGGTCTAGCCAAAATGACATAATCATCAATATTGATTTAATTCCTTAATGAAAAGTGCCATCCTCTTAATATGTATAGCCTACATGCATCGATTCCGAGGGCTATAAAAAAGGGGTCAATTGTGCTACAAATGCAGCAAAACTAATACAATTATCGTTAGTTTACAAATTTGTAAGTACTCTAAAATGTTAATTAAAAAAATGTGTATGAAATTATTGAGTTTTTGCGGCATAAATTAACTTTGGTGTTTAACCGTTGCTATGAAAAATCCCTTGGGGCGAATTACGAATATGGGTTTGCCGTACGCTTTCTACAAAAACAAAATACTTGAATTCGTTATAGTTAGTTTAAATTCTAAGTTAGGCTATACACCCCCGATGTTCTTGATCGCTTTCTAATTTATAATTTATGTATGTATAAAAACTTGTTGATTTATTCCTTTTTCGTGAGTAAGCATACACATAAATATATGAGCATATGTATATGTACATAGACGGGTGCATATGTGTGCGTGCATTTACTGGTGGCGAATTCAGTTGAAAAGAGCTGAATGCCGCCAGCTGTTTTTCAGTAGCATGCCGCCCTTTTAGGCAGACGGTTCGTTTTTGTTGTTGCGCGCTTGTTCTACGTACGTGAATTGTTAATTGCCTTTTGGTTTCCAACAACAGCAAACAGAATATAATGATTTTCAAGTTTTATTGAGCATAGTCCAATTTAAGCAAACGTATGTATTTGTGTTTATTTCGATTCACTTGAATTGAACAATTATATTAATTTGCAATGTGTTTACATTTACTATATACAATTTTTTGCGATTAGATAATTAAGAACCATTGAAAAATCGACCTTTATCTAAAATAACAATAGATAATCGGAATTAGTGAATGAGCAGGAACTAAGTTTTTGTATTGGCGCACCGTTAAGCTAACTGTAAATGCGGACATAAGATAAGTGCGCATACACATGTATGTTTGTATGTACACATATAAATAGAACGATAAAACAAAGCAGACAAAAAATACATACATACGTATGTAATCCAATGTTTTGCAAATGTGCCGCCCGCGTGGTCTGTTATAAGAATGTATATACAATGAATGTACATATACATATGCGTTAGTGACTACTTATATTGCAGACTTGCGTTGGAGTTGTTCACGTGCAGTTGTGCTTGTGTGCGTGCGTCGATGTTTATAAGTATATAAATATATTTGGTTGCACAAATATAAATGTAAATGTGCTGGGTTTCGTTGTTAATATTCGCACTTACAGTCCTTAAAGACTAACATGAATAATTATAATTTTAGAATTGCATTGATGTACATATGCCTGCATGTCGGCTTGCATTTTTGTTTAAATTTACGTACATTAGCTACATACAAATATGCATTCGCACGCACACATGCACCTTTTGTAACCGTCGTTAATTGTTGGTTAGATTGCAACAATGTTTACATTATTTGCCGGCAATAATAGCGTGCACACAATTGTACACACATACATACATATATAAAAGTCAAGTCTAACTCCCAGCTTACACACACACACATGCATCTGCGTCGGGTAGTTGTATTTCGCTAAGCTCACGCATACACACAAATGAAAGCTTCGCGTATCGTGGGATTAAATCGCTGCACAATTGATCTTAGAGCTTTGCAGACATGTGCTTTTTCGAATTACAGTTACAGACATGCATGTGCATGTTACAGGTGTCAGCAAAATGTTTTATCTGATTATATACTTATTTCAGGGGCGCGCTTTTTCGCATAATTTTGATAAATTAAAGACTACAAAAGGGCTATTCACACACACACACACTCTTGCACATATACATATGCATACATGTGTACATAAATTGTACTGTATAATTACGTACAATCAGAGTAAATCAATCAATGCGATTTCAATAGTAATTAGCAATTAGAAGAAAAAAAAAAAAACAATGTCATACTATTTTGCAGTTTTCTCTATAAAACACCTTATCCATTACGTATGTCTCGTAAAGTTTTTCAGCTTCAACGTACAAAATGCAGTCTATTAAAACTGCAGACTTGCCGGAGAATCCACGGGAGCATGCCAATTTTATATCGGCAGCATGTTTCTGGTATGTAATTAATCAATTTTTATCAATAGTTTTCTATTATAATGATATAATACAATATGCACGCAGGTACACCATGCCCACGTTCCTAAAGGGACGCAAAAAAACGCTGGAAACTGAAGATCTCTTCAAGGCATTGAAGGAACACAAGTCAGGTACATTTATCTAAACTAATTCATCAATTCGATATTAAAACTATGTCATCTATATATGCTTGTGTGATTGGTCTGTTTTCTATAAGCGTCATTTGAATCATATTTCGCCATATAATGAAAACAAAAATTAATCAACCTTCCATATATCCCTTTGTGAGTCAGAGCACGGAAAAATTCTGTAAATATACATGCTTATATTTATATTAAAATGTCACATGATTGACTTACATAAACATATTCATATTCAATGCTATGTACATTTAATACAATTGATTTCATTCAATATATACAAACAAAATCAGTTGAAGTACAGTGATCAGTCGGAGATCTTAACTTTTAGAAACATAGAATTGTCCAGAAATAAGAAATTATATTGAAAAGTATGAGCATATATTGAGAGATTGTTTTTTATTTTGATATTTTTTGAATTTCCAATTTGACTTTGTAAAGTTCTCATTAATTTGATAAATTTTAGCTTAGCTGGTTTAACCCACAATCAGCTCCGATGTGTTCTTCTTGGAGAGCGACCACTGTCATGATTCGAATCCCATTTAAAGCAATTGAATGCATTGGCAAATCCAAACTTATCAGTCTTTTAAAGAAATGAAGGCACATGTGTAAATTCGGTCATTGACTTGGGGTATTGTTTGTTTGAGGAAGATTTTGTAATTGTTCGTGTTGATAAGATTTGGCCTGCAATGATTTTATAATCTTATTTACGCTACTTGCAAACAGATCTTTATTTTATGTGGCTGACATTAACCCATACTATTTACAAATGTTGCCATCTTTATAATAAAATCTGCTTATATTTTCTAGAAACCCTTGGAAATGATTTATGCGCCGCCTGGGAGCGGGAGTTACAGAAGAAACAGCTGAACACCAAAAAGGAGCCGAGCCTTCTGTGCGCTCTCGTGCGTGTTTTCGGATTGCACTTTGGCATGCTGGGACTGGTGCTCTTCCTGCTGGAACTGGGTCTGCGCACACTGCAGCCGCTGTGTCTGCTCAAGCTAATATCCTACTATACCTACGGCTCGGAGACAATAGAGGCTGCTTATTATTATGCAGCAGGTGTGGTTGCCTGCAGCGCCTTGAATGTCATCATTATGCATCCGTATATGCTGGGCACAATGCACGTCGGCATGAAAATGCGCGTCGGAATGTGCAGCATGATTTATCGCAAGGCGCTGCGGCTGAGCAAAACCGCGCTGGGTGATACCACAGCTGGGCATATTGTAAATCTGATGTCTAACGACGTGGGACGCTTGGATTTGGCCACAATTTTTGTGCATTATCTGTGGGTGGGACCTCTGGAGACGCTGTTTATAACATACCTAATGTACCTGGAGGTAAGTGTAGAAGAACTGTAAGCCAAAGATTGCCATTCAATGCATTCAATATTTAGCAGTCCGAAAATAACTTTTTTAAATCTCTTGCAGATTGGAATTGCGGCTGTGTTTGGTGTGGCTTTTATGCTGCTCTTCATACCGATGCAGGCCTGGCTGGGCAAGAAGACCTCGGTGCTAAGGATGCGCACAGCTTTGCGTACGGACGAGCGCGTTAGGATGATGAACGAGATTATTGCTGGCATTCAGGTGATCAAGATGTATGCCTGGGAGCTGCCCTTTGAGCAAATGGTTGCGTTTGCCCGCAAAAAGGAAATTAATGCCATACGACATGTCTCCTATATAAGAGGCATATTGTTATCATTTATAATATTCTTGACACGCGTTTCCATCTTTCTAAGCCTCGTGGGCTATGTACTCTTGGGCACATTTCTGACACCCGAAGTGGCCTTTGTGATCACGGCCTATTATAATATATTGCGCACCACCATGACCGTATTCTTTCCCCAAGGCATTTCGCAAATGGCCGAGGCATTAATTTCTATAAAGCGTGTGCAAAAGTTCATGCTGTACGAGGAGACGGATGTCATTGATAAATCCTTGGAACTACCCTTAGTCTCGCCAGGAAGCAATCAGACTACAGTGCACTCTAAACTGGAACAGGAGAATGAGGATGCCAAGGAGAAGCTGCTAACGCCACCAATGCTGCCGCACATCAATGAAAACGCCGTACTCTCTGAAGCCCAAATATCCATAACTGCATTAAAAGCCAAATGGGATACCAGCTCACCGGATTACACCCTAAATGGCGTCAATTTGCGCGTGCAACCTGGCACCATGCTTGGCATTGTGGGACGTACGGGCGCCGGCAAGTCCAGCTTGATTCAGGCTATACTGGGCGAGCTGCGTGCCGAATCTGGCGAGATACGTGTAAATGGAAGCTTCTCATATGCATCTCAGGAGCCCTGGCTCTTCACTGGTACTGTTCGTCAGAATATACTCTTTGGCCAGGCAATGGACAAACGTCGCTATGCACAGGTGGTGAAAAACTGTGCCCTGGAGCGTGACTTTGAGCTGTTGCCATACGGCGACAAGACAATTGTGGGCGAGCGGGGTGCATCTTTATCGGGCGGACAGAAGGCGCGCATTAGCTTGGCGCGCGCTGTTTATCGCCAGTCGGCAATTTATCTGCTCGACGACCCGCTTAGCGCCGTGGACACACATGTGGCACGACATCTATTCGAGAAATGCATGCGCGGCTATTTGCGTGATCGTATTGTAATCCTTGTCACGCATCAGCTGCAATTTCTGCAGCATGCCGATCAAATAGTCATTCTGGAAAAGGGTCAAGTGAGCGCTGTGGGCACATACGAATCGCTGCGCGAATCGGGTCTTGACTTTGCCTCAATGCTGGCAGATTCGTCACGCGACGAGCATGGCATCGAGGAGCGCTCTCGCTCCAGATCGGGCTCGGCCAGCGATAAGCGACGCAACAGCGAACAGTCGCTCCTATCGCTAGCCGATTCCTGTCTGGATGAGGCCTCGGCAGCGCAAATGCATGTGCAGGAGTCACAGGAACAAGGTCGCATCGGACTGCGACTATATAACAAATATTTTAAGGCTGGCGGCGGTTTCTTTGCCTTCTTTGTCATGATGGGCTTCTGTGTGCTGTCGCAGGTGCTGGCCTCTCTGGGCGACTATTTTCTGTCATATTGGTGAGTGCGGAAATGCTTAAGATGCAAATTTTATTTTTAAAAATATATTCTTATTCACAGGGTTGCCAAGAAGGGCAGCTTAAAAAGCATGCATGCCGCCAATGACACCACAACCATTGTCTCACATGGCCCGGAATCTCGTCTCTCGATTTGGCTCCACGATTTGGGCTTGTCCGTAGATGCTGAAATGCTGGACACTTATATCTTTACCCTGATTACTATTGCTACCATTGCCATCACCTTGGCGCGTTCATTTTTATTCTTCAATGTGGCCATGAAGGCATCCACGGAGCTGCACAATTCCATGTTTCGCGGTATTACGCGCGCTGCCATGTATTTCTTCAATACAAATCCATCGGGTCGTATACTAAATCGTTTCTCCAAGGACATGGGTCAAGTGGATGAGATATTGCCTGCTGTCATGATGGATGTCATACAGATCTTTCTGGCCCTGGCTGGCATTGTCATTGTCATAGCCATTGTTAATCCGTTGTTTCTGGTTCCCACAGTCGTACTCGGCATCATTTTCTATCAGCTGCGCACGTTCTATCTGAAAACTTCACGCAATATCAAACGCTTGGAGGCCATTAGTAAGTTAATTATAGATACAGTAGTCGCTCGCAAATTAAAACTTCTAGAAATTAGACTTAATCAAAAAATTAGCGAGCGATTACTGTAATAGCATTTATCATCCATCTGTATATATCTCTATCTAATTAACATCCAATTCACAGCTCGATCGCCCATTTACTCACATACGGCTGCCTCGCTGACGGGCTTGTCCACGATACGCGCCTTTGGGGCACAGCGTGTGCTGATCAGCGAATTCGATAATCATCAGAATTTGCATAGCTCGGCCTTTTACATGTTTATAAGCACATCGCGTGCCTTTGGCTATTGGCTGGACTGTTTCTGTGTCGTCTACATTGGCATTATTACGCTCAGTTTTTTCATTTTTCCGCCGGCGAATGGCGGCGAGGTGGGCTTGGCCATAACGCAGGTAAGATACATCATATTACAGGCTTTCAAATGGTATCATAACCCTATCACAAATCTCTTATGCAGGCAATGGGCATGACCGGCATGGTGCAGTGGGGCATGCGCCAATCTGCGGAGCTCGAGAACACCATGACCGCCGTGGAGCGTGTCGTTGAGTATGAGGATATTGAACCGGAGGGCGCTTTGGAGGCACCAGCTGATAAGAAACCGCCCAAGAGCTGGCCAGAAAATGGCAAGATTGCCTTTGAGGAGCTTAGCCTACGCTATTTCCCCGATCCCAAATCCGATTATGTGCTTAAATCTCTCAATTTCGTTATCAAAGCTCGTGAGAAGGTGGGCATTGTGGGCCGCACGGGCGCAGGTAAATCTTCACTTATTAACGCATTGTTCCGCCTCTCCTACACCGAAGGCTCCATACTGATCGATAAACGGAACACGCAAGCAATGGGCCTACATGATTTGCGTAGCAAAATATCGATAATACCTCAGGAGCCGGTGTTGTTCTCTGGCACAATGCGCTACAATTTGGATCCCTTCGATGAGTATAGCGATGAAAAGTTATGGTCTTCCTTGGACGAGGTCAAACTAAAGGATGTCGTTGCCGACTTACCCAGCGGCTTGCAGAGTAAAATAACGGAAGGTGGCACCAACTTCAGCGTGGGTCAACGGCAATTGGTGTGTCTGGCACGTGCCATTTTGCGCGAGAATCGTATACTGGTTATGGACGAGGCCACCGCCAATGTGGATCCGCAAACGGATGCACTTATCCAGACAACAATTAGAAATAAGTTTAGGGAATGCACCGTACTTACAATAGCCCACAGGCTACATACGATTATGGATTCTGATAAGGTGCTCGTCATGGATGCTGGCAGAGTTGTTGAGTTTGGCACGCCCTATGAGCTATTAACCTGCGCAGAGAGCAAGGTGTTCCATGATATGGTCAAACAGACCGGTAAAGCAACCTATGATAATCTGGTGCTGGTCGCCAAGAAGGTATCTAAATATTTATCAAAATTGAGTGTATTCAAATTAAATATTTCTTTGACTTACAGGCATTCGAAGCAGCTCAACAAACACGCAGATTATCATCGTGAAGCCAGGCAACATTGAATGTATCTGGGATTTTATCATGGTGAGGACCTGCATCCCACGATGGTCCATCGAATGTAAATAAACTCATCCGATTCCAGTTTCTAATACAATATTCCTTTAATTTTATATGTACTTATATGTATGTGCCTATGCATTGAATATTATATTGTTAATGTTTATATATTTCTATGTATATTAAGTGTAAAAGTGCAAGGAATACAGTGCCTTCAAAATAAATGTGAACTACTTGTGTACTTAAAAAATAATTTTCGAATTTCAAGAATAACTTGAGCATCGGGAAAATCAAATAGAAAGGAGACATGATAAAAAATTTACGCTGCACCAAATATTAAAATGGAATATTTGTAATGAGTTAAATTGCAATTTGTTATTTCTCACAATTGTTTAAAATCGGAATTTTTATGTTTACCAAATTGTGTACGTTAACGGGTCCACTCTAATGCATGCTAATGTAATGTAAATAAATATTTATGTATATATTAAAATTGCGACAGTATGGCAGCGCTGTCGATGGCGCCGGCAACAGCTGTTAGAACAGCTGTTAACGAAGTTCCCAGAGAGACAAAAAATGTTTAGTTGCGTTTGGAGCTGCGCACCGAGGACTTGTGTGCAGTCCAACTGTTTTCATTAATTAAATGGAACGTATTTTCCTTTCTACTGTATTTTCGCGATAAGCCGGCGTAATTGTTGTCGCGTATCTCTAGCTGTGATGAAATTTATACGGAGCATCCGCATATGTTGTTGTTATGTGCATATCTAAAGCTCGAGCCTCGATATAAACGTTTGTTTAAAGCGCGGCAAAACGTTTCCAAACGTTTGCACAGTCTATATAGTCCTGCTGTGTAGCGTATACGCGCAACAGTGCAAAAGTTTCCCATTACAAAGCTCTCTGAGAATTAAACAAAAGGCTTGTGTAAACAAATTGATTACATACGAAATTGTTATTATACAGATATTGGAATTTTCCCAAGATGACAGCTGATAAGCTGGCGCCTAATCCGCGAGAGACGGCCAGCTGCCTCTCCGCAATTATGTTCTGGTAAGTCGAAGCGTTACAGAATGATCTTCAAATTGGATTACTTTTTAGTTTTGTCAATTCAGTTTCAATAATAATAGTCTATTATCTTTGCAATACGTTTTTTTTATTTTTTTTTTGTAAAGTTTTATTACATGCCCGAACTTGATCTCTTAAATATGTTGCTGTCAAGTAGACATGTCCTATCTATCTATTTTTCCAAAGATAAGATAATATTCATAATTGTTTTTATCACCTGTAATTACACAACATTTGCGTGGTCACTTCTTCCGATTTAAATCCAATTACACAAATATAACAATTATGTAAAGCGCCAAAATTTAAAATTTGTAATTGGATGCTAATAAAATAATTATGTGTGATTAGCAAAAGTAATTGTAATTACTTTCTTATAAGAAATAAGATAGATAATCTGAACAGCTAATTATATTTATTATATAATTTATATTAATTTAAACATTTATCTTGACAGCTTTGCGCTGCCCATATTATTCAAGGGCCGCAAAAAAACATTGGAGCCCAACGATCTCTACGATGTGCTCAACGAGCACAAGGCGGACAAGTTGGGTGAGAAGTTCTACCAAGCCTGGGAGGCTGAGGTCAAGGCGAAAGGTCACACAGGTGCCAAAAAAGCGAGCATGCTGCGAGTCGTACTCAAAGTCTTTGGCTGGGAATTGGTTATTTCGGGCATTGTCCTTGCAATACTAGAGCTGGGTCTCAGGTGAGTGTCTAAGGATTAAGAAGCTTAAGGAGCCAGAATGAGGCAACTTTTATGCCATATATATATACCCTATATATTTAAATTCTTGGTCCGTTCGTCTCCCTATCGTTCTCAGAGATTTCAAAAGCTAGTCCAAGACTTTGCATACCATACGCAAAAACTGTTGATTCTATAACTCTTTCGTTATGTGCTATCGATAAATATCGATTTTCAGCCACTGTTTCAGCGCATCTCGGGTTTAATAGAAGCTAAAGAGAAAAAAATGTTCAGGAATCAGGAATATTTTAGTTTTTAGACACTTTCTGATTTAAAGTTCGAAAATTTATCGATCTTCTAAGGCTTGGTATTTGCTATTTTCGACGAACACTTTTTCGATTACTCTCTCGTTCTGTGTTATCGATAAATATCGTTTTCTGGCCACTTCTTTCTGCGTAACTCGGCTATAATTGAAGCTAACCAAAATTATCTAAACCAAAACTTGAATAAATTAATCGATCTTTTAAGGCTTGATATTGGAAAGCAATATTTTAGGCCTAAAAGTTTTTCGAGAGGTACAGGATATCTGCTAGTCGGTCACGCACGACTAGAAAACTAAAGCTGTTTTTAATTGTAATATATTGATTCCCTTTCCAGGGCCACCTTGCCACTCCTGCTGGCCGGCCTGATATCAGAGTTCAGCTTGACTGGCAATGGACGCAGTCTGAGTGCTCAGCTCTATGGCGCCGGCCTGGTGACATGCATTGTGTTGAGCGTGCTGCTGTTCCATCCGTTCATGATGCACATGATGCATCTGGCTATGAAGATGCGGGTGGCGGTCAGCAGCGCCATTTACCGAAAGGCCTTGCGCCTGAGCCGCACAGCGCTGGGTGGCACGACGACGGGTCAGGTGGTGAATCTGGTATCGAATGATTTGGGCCGCTTTGATCGTGCGCTCATCCATATGCACTTCCTGTGGCTGGGTCCGTTGGAGCTGCTGATCGCCTCGTATTTCTTGTACCAGCAAATCGGAGTGGCCTCCTTTTATGGCATCGCTATACTCCTGCTATATCTGCCGCTGCAAACGTATCTGAGCCGCTTGACCTCGGCCCTGCGACTGCGCACGGCAGTCCGCACAGATCGTCGCGTCCGCATGATGAACGAGATCATTGCCGGGATTCAGGTGATCAAGATGTATGCCTGGGAGCTGCCCTTCGAGCGAATGGTGGCCCAAACGCGTGCCAGCGAGATGAACGTCATACGCAAGGTGAACTATATACGCGGCGTTCTGCTCTCCTTTGAGATCACGCTGGGACGGCTGGCGATCTTTGCCAGCCTGCTGGCCTATGTGCTCGCCGGTGGCCAGCTGACGGCGGAGCAGGCATTTTGTGTGACCGGATTCTACAACATTTTGCGGCGCACCATGAGCAAATTCTTTCCCAGTGGCATGTCCCAGGTGGCTGAGCTCTTGGTATCCTTGCGGCGGATAACAACGTTTATGCTGCGCGACGAAACGGATGTGGCCATGCTGGCCGAGGAGGAGGACGACGACAGGGCAGCGGAGAGTAAGAAACTCCTAGCAAATGGCAATCAACAGCAGTTCAGCTCGGATGTCTGCGTTGAGATCAAGCATTTGAGAGCACGCTGGAATACGGATCACGCGGATCCCGTTTTGGATGATATCAATATGCAGCTACAGCGACAGCAGCTGGTGGCTGTCATTGGGCCCGTGGGCGCTGGCAAGTCCAGCCTGATACAGGCCATTCTGGGTGAGCTGCGCGCCGAGTCGGGCACGATTAAGTTAAGCGGACGCTGCTCCTATGCCTCACAGGAGCCCTGGCTATTCTGTGCCAGTGTGCGTGACAATATACTGTTTGGCCTGCCGCTGGACAGGCAACGTTACAGAACGGTGGTCAGGATGTGCGCCTTGGAACGTGACTTTGAGCTGTTGGAGCAGGGCGACAAGACGCTTGTCGGGGAACGTGGCGCATCGCTGTCCGGCGGGCAGAAGGCTCGCATTAGCCTGGCGCGTGCTGTTTATCGCAAGGCGGATGTGTATCTGCTCGATGATCCGCTCAGCGCCGTGGACGCGCATGTGGGCCGGCATCTGTTCGAGCAGTGCATGCGAGGATTTCTGCGCCATCAGCTGGTCATATTGGTCACACATCAATTGCAGTTTCTGGAACAGGCCGATCTCATTGTGATCCTGGACAAGGGCAAGGTGACCGATATTGGCACCTATGACCATATGCTCAAGTCTGGCCAGGATTTCGCCCAGATGCTAGCACAGCAGCCACAAGAGGTGACTGAGATTGAAGTGGAGACAAAGACCTGCGGCGATGCCAATGATAAATCTACGACGTATTCTCGCCAAAATAGCGTGGAAAGTCGCAGCAGCATTTCCTCCATGGGCTCAAGTGCGGATGATTCATTAATGGCCCGGGACAAGCCAAAGGAAGTGCAGGAAACGCGCTCAGCCAACAAAATTGGTTGGGGCATGTACCAGAAATACTTCAGAGCCGGCTGTGGCTGGTTAATGTTTCTGCTGGTGGTGCTCCTATGCCTGGGAACGCAACTGATGGCGTCTTGGGGTGACTACTTTTTGTCCTACTGGTAAGTGGAAGGGGTAATGCGAGTTTCATAAGACTTGTTTGGTTATTTATAGGAGCTGTTTAAGCTTTACCCTCCATATCTTGTTTCATTACATTGTAGCATAGATCATTTTAAAGAAATTCATTTTTATTTTATGAATTACCAGCAATTTGCTGAGTTTTTATTAGATTCTCATAAGAATTATTATGTTAAGTAACATTGTGACATTCTCTACAAATAAGCAGTTATTTGTTTTAAAATAAATGTGTTATTACAGTTGTGTTAGGTACATGGCTATGTTATGTTAAGCGTCTGTTAACATACATAGCAGAATAGGAGATCATAAACCATAAAAGGCAACAGTCGCAACGCGTCGTTAAAGTTTTTACAGGTCCTTAAACTAGCTCTGTACATTGCAATGTTATGTTAAGTAGCTGTAAACAAACATTAGCATAGGCTTACAATTGTGTGCACAACTTATATTTGTTTTTCTATTTGGCAGGGTAAAGAGCAACTCGTCATCAACGTTGGACATCTACTACTTTGCGTCCATCAATGTGGCGCTGATCATATTTGCTCTGCTGCGTACGCTTCTGTTCTATAGCATGGCCATGCACTCCTCCACCCAGCTACACAACTCCATGTTCCGGAGCATTACACATGCGGCCATGTATTTCTTTCATACAAATCCATCGGGTAGGATATTAAACCGTTTTGCCATGGATATGGGCCAGGTGGACGAGGTGCTGCCCACTGTTATGCTGGATTGCATACAGATATTCCTCACCTTGGCTGGCATTATATGCGTGCTTTGCATTACGAATCCTTGGTATCTGATCAATACGCTGGCCATGCTGCTATGCTTCTATTATCTACGCAACTTCTATCTGAGCACATCGCGGGATGTGAAGCGTCTGGAGGCTGTTGCCCGTTCGCCCATGTATTCGCATTTTGGTGCCACGCTGAATGGACTGCCCACAATACGTGCCATGCATGCACAGAGGATGCTGATTGCGGAATATGATCATTACCAGGATAATCATTCCATTGGCTACTATACATTCCTGACGACAAGTCGTGCCTTTGGTTACTATCTGGATCTATTTTGTGTGATATATGTTTTGATCATAATACTAAACAATTTTGTGTATCCGCCTGAGAATCCCGGCCAAATTGGCTTGGTCATAACGCAGGCCATGTCCATGACAGGCATGGTGCAGTGGGGCATGCGGCAATCGGCCGAGCTGGAGAACGCCATGACCTCCGTGGAACGTGTGATTGAGTACAGAAGCCTGAAGTCCGAAGGAGAATTTACTTCGACTGTTGACAAAAAACCGCCTGCCAGCTGGCCAGAAGCTGGTCAAATTGTGGCTGACGATTTGAGTTTACGTTACGAACCAGATCCCAAGGCGCCACATGTGCTGAAATCCCTGAATTTCATTATCGAACCATGCGAGAAGGTGGGCATCGTGGGCCGCACGGGCGCTGGCAAATCCTCGCTCATCAATGCCCTTTTCCGCCTGTCCTATAACGATGGCTCCATAGTGATCGATGAGCGGGATACGGAGCAGATGGGCCTACACGATTTGCGTAGTAAAATTTCAATTATACCTCAGGAGCCGGTGTTGTTCTCCGGCACAGTACGCTACAATTTGGATCCGTTTCAGCAATATCCTGACGACAAACTGTGGCAAGCTTTGGAGGAGGTAAGAGCATATTATATTCCTTAGTATCAAACAAAGTCAATATATTTTTTCACTTACAGGTGCATCTTAAGGATGAAATCGGCGAGATGCCAATGGGTCTGCAGAGCAACATTTCCGAGGGTGGCTCCAATTTCAGCGTGGGTCAACGTCAATTAGTGTGCCTGGCACGCGCCATTTTACGCGAGAATCGCATCCTGGTCATGGACGAGGCCACCGCCAACGTGGATCCACAAACTGATGCACTTATTCAGACGACTATTCGAAATAAGTTTAAAGAATGCACCGTACTTACAATAGCTCACAGGCTACACACGATTATGGACTCGGATAAGGTTTTGGTTTTGGACGCGGGACAGGTTGTGGAGTTTGGTGCACCTTATGAACTCTTGACAACCTCCAAGAGTAATGTTTTCCACGGCATGGTTATGCAGACAGGGAAAACAACATTTGAACATCTTCTGAAAATAGCACAGCATGTAAGTAATATAATTTGGGCATTAACCTTATTTCAATTTATATATGCATTATTATTTTTGCAGACTTATGAAAAAAACCTGGAAAAAAAAGCGGAATCAGTTGAACTGCAGCTTTAAAAATATTATTACTATGAGCACCATGGATCTACTTAGGATTTGCTGTCTTGCCAATTACTACTTCATTTAGAGGTTAGTTACCTCTCCATATAGTTATGGCCTTACCCTGGTAATCGAATCGGGAAAACTTCAATGTTTATAAATGTTTGTTAAAAGTTAATTTTTATTCATAGCATTTGATGTATTATAGATGAAATGCATTTACTTAATTTCTTTATATTGCGAATTAAGCAAAGAGTTATAAACAAGTTAATATATTTTATTTTCAATGCATTGGCCGTCTGGAATTTGTTGATTATTTTAGAACTTCGCACAAATTTTAGTGAATGTTAGAAACGTACGTTCTATTTTTTTTGGCCACCACTGTATTGAGAATTTTTCAATGTCAGGTCAGCTGGCGCGTAGTAGTAATCGATTACAGCGATATTGGTATCGATAGGTATCGCTTCTAACACATGCTATTGTTTGTTTGCGTAAATTTCGTAGTAAACACGTCCTATTTTTCGGTCTGCGTTTAATTAAATTTTTAAACTTTATCAATGCACGTGTAATGAAAAGGAGTTCTACAATGGACACGCAGTTAACTTATGAATCAGCAGTCAAGAAAGGTAAGTAAAGGATAGATTTCAATAGGCATAAATAGGCTTGCTTGTAGTTTGTGTACATGTACATACATATGTTTGTAAAAATGTATGTATGTATGTATGTGTGTACTGCCACGTAGATAAGAATAGTTGTAAAGATTTTTAAGACATAATCTTGCTTCAAACGCAGCTCAATTGGTGGAGCGAAACCCCCAATTTCAATTGGATCCTATGCGTGTCTCGATGCACGATGAAACTGATATAATTAATCTAGCGCAGCAAATACAAACGGCGGACAAGCATCTGAAGCACAGCACCAGCCAGAAATTGGTCGTTATACTGGATCAGGTAAGCCTTGTTCTGCAAAACAATAGACCTGCGCGTAACTCTGTTCATTTTCGCTTAGATAAAAATGCTGCAAGCACAAGCTATGAATATACTTAAGGAGTCAAATGAGAGTCGAACACTACACAGCGCCGCTTGTAATTTTGCCAAGAAACCCGGCCATATCTATCATCTTTACCAAAGGGCCACTGGCCAGAACTATTTTAGCATGCTGTCACCAGAAGTATTTGTTATTTTCCGTTCAAAAATGTCTTATATTTATATAATTTATTGCAGGAATGGAATCATTCTGTGGACCAATCATATAAGGGCAGCTATAGACTCGAATATGATTTAAGCTGGACACCGATTAATAAAATAAAGGAGCATGATGATAAGCTTAAATGGGTGGAGAAATGCATAAATAGCGACAACGGTACAACACTAGCTATTGATTTTAATGTTACAAATAATTAAAGCCATAATAAATTTCAATGACGGATGCATGTCATCATCACACATGTCAATAGTAGGCTAAATTAATTTTTAATATTAATATTAAGTTAGAAACGAATTTTATAAACATTTAACTGTAAGATACCTGTAGGAATTCCGCTCACATATTTATCGATTGTTCGATAATATATCGGTATGTTTTAATAATTAATCGTTTAATCGTGAGCGCAGCTGTTTTGTTTACGCTGCAGCAGCTGTGTTATTTTTTCTGTGAAAATTTCTACTTTTTGCTGTTCGGTTTTATCATATCATTTTCAATTTTACGATGTCCACACAGAACGGAATGTATTATAGTCTATTGGAGTGGTTCAAAACGCTCAATCTAAACGCGCCGCATGCAAATGCCGAGGAGCTGGCCGATGGCGTTGCTCTAGCGCAGGCATTAAATCAATTTGCACCCGAATCATTTACCAATTCGTGGCTGTCGAAAATTAAATCAAGCGCTGTCGGCGGTAATTGGCGTTTGCGTATGAGTAATCTCAAGAAAGTGGTCGAGGGCGTCTACGAATACTACAGTGATGTGTTAAATTATACGCTGCAGCACGATTTTGTCAAGCCGGATGTGCAGGCCATAGCTGAGAAGTGTGACCTCAGTGAATTGGAACGCCTGCTGCAGCTGGTCCTCGGCTGTGCTGTTAACTGCGCCAAGAAGCAGTCATATATATGCGAGATTATGTGCCTGGAGGAGGAGCTGCAGGCGAACATAATGCGTGCACTTCAAGAGCTTGAATCCTCGACACGCCAGACCACAGAGGGCGGCGTGGTCAGCTCGTTGTCGCGCAACTCTTTGAGCGGCATGCTCGACGGCAATGCAAAGGCACTGGAGGAGCGCGATGCCATGGCCCAAAAGTGTTTTGAAACTGAAAAGAAAATGCTGCTGCTTATCGATGAGAAAACCAATTTACAGCAGGAGCTGCAAAAATTACAACAGGAATTCGCACGGCTGGAACACAATACAATTGGCGACGATGGCGTCTCACTTGGTCCCATACAGGCCGGCTCCGTGCGTTATAATGAGCTAAGGTGGGCACTAAAACATCTTAATTTATATAGTTATATATATTATAAATAATTTGATTTCCTTTAGACGTCAACTGGAATTAGTTAAGGAGGAGCTGCTGCAGTCGGAGGGCGCACGTGAGGACTTGAAAATTAAGGCACAGCAGCAGGAGACGGACTTGTTGCACATGCAGCAGCGCATAGATGAGCTAATGGTGGGTGCCAAATCCATTTGCCAGAGCAGAAATTCATGTTTGATTACTTTTGACAGAAAAGCACCGCAGAGCTGACCGCTCTAAAGGATGAGGTGGATGTGCTGCGCGAATCCACAGATAAGCTAAAGGTATGCGAGGCCCAGCTGGAAACCTACAAGAAGAAGCTTGAGGAGTACAATGATCTTAAGAAGCATGTCAAAATGCTTGAGGAGCGCAGCGCTGACTATGTGCAGCAGAATGCACAGTTCGAAGAGGATGCCAAACGTTATGCCAACACAAAGGGACAAGTTGAGCTCTTCAAAAAGGAGATACAAGATCTGCACGCCCAACTGGACAATGAGAGCAGCAAAAATGTCAAGCTCGAGTTTGACAACAAGAATTTGGAGAGCAAAACTTTGGCGCTGCAACGCGAAAAAGATAATTTACTCAAGGAGCGCGACAATCTGCGCGAGGCATTCGATGAGCTAAAATGCGGCCAATTGTCCACGAATTCTGGCAGCTTGACCGGCACAACAATGTCGCGGGAACTACAGCCGCCAGCTATGATGGACAAAATGCAGCGTCTGGAGGCGGAGAACAAGGCGTTGCGCGAGGGTCAAGGTGGCCAAACAGCTTTGGCGGTAAGTTAACTATAATTTTTATAATTGTAAGCTATCGAAGGTAACGCCTCCGACATGAATTTGTGATCAGCAACAAAAGCCGAGTTCATTTAGTCATGTTTGCCATCGTCCTCAGCTTTGCTTAGGCTCGTCATTTTGTTGCAGGCTTTTTCTTATTTTCATCAATTAAAAATATTTATTTTTAATTACAGCAACTGCTGGACGATGCAAATAAACGCTGCGAGCATTTGCGTGAACAATTGAAGACCGCCAACGAGCGGATACTCTCCCTATCGCATGCCTCGCAAAGCGATGATCCTATACTGAAGGAGTGAGTACTCTAGCTATACTTTTAAATGAATTTAAAACTAAATATATAACATTCTTTGTCACAGAAATGAATTCAGCAAACAAATCAAGCAGCTAATGGAGCTTAATGAGCAAAAAAGTAAGCCTCAATTATTTGATTTAAATATAATATATATTCTTGATTGTTTATCGAATGTCTTGCAGCACTTCAAATTGAGGAATCGTCTACTCAAAACTCAACAATGCAGTGCAAAATAACACAACTGGAGTCTACTTTGGCCACACGGGAGCAGGAACTAATGGCCTTCGAAGTCAAGTACCGCAAATGCATCGAGAGAGCCAAGGAAGTTATCAAAAATATAGATCCGCGCATAGCCAGTGGTTTGTTTAAATCATTTGAATGCATATATATAGTTGAATTTGTTCTAAAATACCAACTCAACTTGCAGTTATGGAGGCAAACAATTTGGAAAAGAGCGTCGATGTCATTGAGGAGGAATCGAAAACCAAAATGAGCGGCATGGAGGAGCAGTTAATGGCCAGCGCTTTCTATAGACTGGGCGTTAATGCTCAACGCGATGCGGTTGACTCGAAACTGGCCCTATTAATGGGCTCGGGACAAACATTCCTGGCGCGCCAGCGACAATCGGCGCCCCGCAAACCCCTAACTACAATGAAATCAAAGTAGTTGTGGCTTTTTCGTAAGTTAAATGTTCTTTAAACGCAATATTTGTTCTCGTTTTTAGCGTACGTATATATGCATATTTATATAACCCTTATTTATTCGCGATTTGTAAACGATTATCAAATCTATTTTATTTCCAAAAAATCTATATATACATGGTGTACCTTTCGAAAATAAAACTGTATTAGTTAAGATACGGTACGGGTTGTGATACGAGAGCTCTATTGACGCCTAGAAAAACGGGTTTGAAAAGTGCACAAGTCTCTATAGAGAATAATTTTAACTTTAAATTTATGTTTTTAGATTGTATTTATATCACTCATGCTGTCCGTCCGTGTAAACGCAATATATATTTGTCACAAAACTAGATTCTGAAATTTTGGAACTAACATATTTCCGTGAATATCCATATCCTTGTCAACCAAGGATTTTTTGTCCCGCACAGATCTATAGAAAACCTTCGCACAATCTTCGAAAGAAGCTGAACTAGGCTTACGGCTTACCAAGCCCGTAATCGTATTCAATTCAAATCAAAACAAAAGATTAGTTTCTCGTTATAGATTTAACATTATTGTTGTTTTAATTTCAGTATTTGATACATTTTACGCAAGGTATTTGGATAAAACATAAATAGTTCTGGAATTATACAATTAGGATCGTGTAGTTTTTAGGTTTTAGGTTTTTTCGTTTTATGTATGTTTTATTTTTGTATTTTTAGAGTCTTTTTTAGCATTGGCACACGTGAAAAATGCATTTAAAAATTTGCATCTCGTGCATGAATTTCCATATACGAGCAGGAGCTTAACAATAGGGTGTCTTTTTGTTTGTTTTTTTTACTTCTAAAATATGTGGCTTTTAGTTAGGAGCGAAAAGAAAACGTCATATTTTTCATAACAAAGCAACAAATTTGCGCAGTCTACACACATATTCGTATATATATTTATATATTTATCGAGGCTGCAAAACCAATGATAAAATCACCAACAAATTTAATGGCGCGATCCCCTTTTAGGTTCGGTTCTTGCAGCTGTCCTCGCTTATGATCGATCATGTTCACATAATCTTGAAGAGAAATGATAAAATTGGTTTGGAGCCACGATAGCTATATAGACATATGTATACACACTTAGTAAAAGCTATACCATCGATACTGTACAAGGCCGCTGTGTTCTACCAGGGCCGCCACATGCTCTCATCGATGACCTGCTGGCCGCCAACCTGTTGTGCCCGGTACTCCTCCTCTTGGCGCAGCCGCAACGCCTGCCTGGCCGCGCTGCTCGTTTGCGGACTGGCATCGAGCGTTTCATTTTCGTTGGAACCGATGCCGCTCTCCGAGCGTGGCGAGGATTGCTGCGTCGCCGGCGCCGACTTCAGCTCAGAGACGCCCGAACTGACCGATGCCGATGCCGCCGAGGAGGAGGCCACCGAGGCGGGTCGCTCATTGAGCATGGCTGCTGCCGCTGCCGCTGCGTTGGTATTGTTGGCCATGCTATTGGCATAGGCAGCGGCCGCAGCGGCGGCCACATGCGCCGCCTCCAGGCTGCCCGCAAAGTTGGGACTCAACTTGCCGGCCAGATGCGGCTGCATGCGCTGCAATTCAATGAGACGCTCGAAATCCGTGCGTGTGGCAATCGGATCCACCATGGGCTGGGCGCTCAGACCCAAGGCAGCGGCCAGCTGCACATAATGCGGAGGAAGCACCAGCACGCCCCCATTGGCGGGCACGCCCTCAGCCTGGGACTGGGCCTTCAGCTGCTGCTTGTACTGTTCCAGCACATTGACGCAGACGACTTTGTTGGCATCGTGCTCGTAACCCAGCTCGATGACTGCACCGCTTGGCGGCGACTGTTGCTGTTGCAGCTGCTGATGCTGCTGTTGTTGCTGTTGTTGCTGTTGCTGTTGTTGTGTTGGGATCTGGTTTTGGACTGGCGGCGCCAGTTGACCGCGATTGTTGTTCTCATCCTGCTGCGGCGCCAGCGTTGCACGCTGATCGCCGACCACCAGCAACGGCGTCTCGCCCAGCTTTAGACCCTTGCTGTAATCGAGCGGATTGGAATCCTGACTGCTGTAGTCCAGCGAGTGCTCCTCGGTCGGCGCCGGGGTTTTCTTAATATCAAAACATGTCCGGCTGCTGCTGTTCGGACTCTCCGCAAAATTGGCGGCTGTCGTTGTATGCGGGCATATCTCAACATCGATCTCCGCTATGCATTGATCCAGATGCCGCAGCAGGCGCGCCTTGGAGCCCGGCTCCGCCAGCGTCGGCATATTGCCCATTGGCGGCGGTTCCGGCGTGGCCAAATACCGTGCCACTTCGCGTGCACAGTCGGTGTAGCCGGCGCGATATTTATTCACAGCTGCTGTGCGGGAAAGTCAAGCTTCAGTTTTGGGCAACGGATCGGGTGCAAACAAAATGCGAGAAGCTACCTACTTGGATCATCCAGATTGCGATGCCGTTGAAAATGACGTACTGTAAGCTCCAGTATGTCCGCCTTCTCCAGTTTCGTATGCTTCGCCTGGCCATCGCCATTTTTCGCATTCTGATGCTTGGTCGACTCCAAAATGAGGGCCTTGAGTATGGCCAGACTTTGATTAATGCGGGCACGTCTGCGCTTCTCCATGAGTGGTTTATTGGTACGTTTGCTAATGTCCTGCGACGAGGTTACATTTTGTGAGGAGCTCACCAGACCAATCGATTTGATGCCGCTGCCATTGGTTGAGCTGGAGGCGGAGAATCCGAGGCCTGCAATTCAAATTATAAGGTAAGACTTACAATTAAATAAAATTTTAATAGTCAATTGAATATAGATAAGCCAAATAATCGGTCACAAATTGGAATGCTTCAGTTTAATTGCTGGCTTTTCTAATTTGCAATCATTTGGTTTTTCTTAAAGCTTTAGTTTTCCATAAAAAATATATATAAACTAAAAGACTGAACTTAACATAACATATGCCAACTTTAGAGATTTCCATAAGGCATTTTCTGGGGATTTTTAATTTAGAACTTTCAAAAACGTAAGACAAAATTTCCTTAGAAATAATAATTTTAGATATTAATTTTTATACATTTCCGATTCGAATAGTTCTATTTTCTATAATAATTTCAGAAATTAATTTTTTTCATTTCCGATTCTTACAAGTATATTATCCGAACTAATATATTATGCCTCGGTTTTGTCTTTAGTTAAAAAAAAAAACGATACTCCAAAAAGTATGCTACAATATATCAAATATTTCTGATATAGCAAATTTCAAGCTTTACGATATTCAGATTCGAAAACAAGACAATTCTAGTTTTCGGTTTGGGATTTTTCATATTCCAAATTCAAATGGTTTTTGCTTTAAATACAGTTTTTCTTAAAAAAAAAAGTTGTCCAATACTAAAGCTAGTTAATAGTCGAGAATAATGATGTAGTACTTGTTATTTTATTTCCAGAACCCATTAAAAATTGTCCACTCTTATAATATTATGGAAACATACAGTTCAACATATTTTCAAAGTTTCTTTCTCTTCATAAATGTAGCATTTCTTTTTAGAACCCAGCTTTATGTGTAACGCTTAGTTAAAAGCTTTTCATAAATGCCTGTTATTCATTTCTATATAGTTCTTGTAGGAAATCGACTTTTAGTTATTTGATATAACATTTAGTATGAAAGTCACATTCTTGAAGTTGAAGCTTATAAGGTCGAAATTTTCCGAGCAATCCATGCCGAAACCTTTGTTCGATTAACTTTGTTTCTTTAACACATTAATATTCTTTTTCAAATAGTTTTTTGGTTTTCAAACTTGAAATAGAATTAATAATTTTTACCCGCTGTTGATTTATTTTTATTGTAATCCTTATCACGTTTTGCTGTCATTTTGTCATTTTTGCCGAACTCTTAATGAATTCCACACACACGCGTAAATTTGTAACAATTCAATTCAGATTATTTGGTAACTAAATTGGACAGTTTGCCGTAGGTTGTAAGCGCCAAAGTCAAAATCCAAGCCGGACAAAATTACGTCTTTTTGTTTGAACGGCTTGAAGACGTTTAAATACCGCAACAGGAAAAACTCGTCGCTAAACAATTTGTTGCGAGACGAGACGTCCGCACTGGCCGAGCATTAACCGAGTACTAAAAACCGAAACGAACTGCACACAACTCGACTCAACTGAACTGAACTGAACTGAACAGAACTGAACGAACAGAAGCTAACGGTAAGCGTAACGGTGAAACGTACTTCGACTTTTCGTTTTTACTTGGTTGCCGTCGCTTATGACGCCCGCCGTGGTGCGCATAGCTCGTACAAAATTTGCCGACTGAATGGCTCTTGGGCTGGCGCTCGCCACAGCCATCGCCGTTGCCGTCGCCGTCGCCGTCGTCGTCGTCGTCGTCGTCGTCGTCGTGTGGCGCAGCAACCAAAGCAGATTGGAGTCAACCAACAATAAAAACAAGAACAAGCAACAGCAACAACAGTGGCAACGGCGGCAACAGCAACGCCTGGCTGACTGCCTGGCACGTTAATGGTGGTTGTGGTAATGGTTGCCACACACACACACACACATACACTCACACATATACGAACTCACACAACGGCAGCAAAGCTTTAACGACGACGGCGGCGGCATGTTGCCAGTTGTGGGCGGCTGGGCGTTGGCAAATGCGGCAAATGTCAGCCAGTCGACGTGCCGCCAGCGACAGTCGGACAGACGGCGTGACCATGTCTGGCTTTGGCGAGCACAGAAAGTTCGCACGTACGCGCGCCCCTCACACAAACACACACACACACACACACACACATACGAGCACACACACTCTGACAAACCCTCATGCACACGCACACACACCCTAGCGTACAAATCAATTCGTTTAGGCACAAATAAAATATGCCAACAAACATTTTTTTCTATAAGAATATGATTCGGTTTTTAGTAAAAGTATTTTAATTTAAAATATATGCAGATATTTAAATATATATTTCTATGTCTATTTTCTGTTTCAGATGTATATAAAACATGGTAAGTGGCAATATTTGTTTTTAGTATGAAAAATTATGGGCACAATAATGATCAAATATAAGGATCAAATGATGTTTTAAAACGATTTAAAAAAAAAAACAAACAATTGATAACAAAAAAAAAAATCCCTAGAATGCAAAAATTGAGATTTTCAAGTATTAAAATATTTTAATTAAAGTTTAATATTAACATTTCCTTTCTGATTCAAATACCTCATAATTTAGGCATGTAGGCAGAAATCCCGCAAGGCTGTATGAAATATCAAAATATTCCGAATTAACTTGGGCATCAAATTTAAAATACTTTGTAGCATTGTCCTAACTATGTAAAAATGTTGTCTATTGGGTGGCCTGCGCAAACGCCGCCAGGCCAGCCAGCGAGTTAGCTATGGTTGTGGCCTGCGGGCTGGTGTGAGCGTGGGCGGGGTGGGTGTGCGCATGGGTATGTATGTGTGTGTGTGTGTGTGTGTGTCTGTGCGGAGATGCTGACGATGACGGTTGCGATTGTGGGTTTGGGGTCGGGGTCGGGGGTCGTCGTGCCGTTCGGCAACCCACATTGAAATCATAACACCAACGAGGCGAAACTTTAGCGCCACAGCAGTCGTGGCAAATAATAAGCCAGGCGACAGCAATTCCTGTAGCATGGGGCATCAACACCAGACGTAGACCATTCTGACAGCAGCAGGGACTATTAGATAAATACGACATCGATGTGGGCAAAAGGATGGCGTTGCTTTGGACAGCTATCAGAGCCACGGCGACAGCGTTCGTTGACAAAAGGCACAAATTGCAGATATGCTTTTAAATCTGTAGATTTCGATCAATGTGCTGCCAGCATATATGTATTTATTTTTTATTTATCATAATTTCTCAGTTATCATAAATTTATTACTATTTCTCTGATCGCTTTCAGAGTATATAAAAAACGCATCACCAAAAAAGTATGCTACATTTCACAACGATTTAAGTGCACAAGCAGGCAGGCCATTAGTAAAAAAGAATCGTTAGTTGGCATTACTTTTACTTGATTAGCGGCTATTGTTGCGCATTGCCAACAGCGTTTGATCTAAGCTAAATTGTTAATTAGCATTGCCCGCTTGCTGTTTTGTCTAGACGCTCGCCTTGTGCAATGACAAACTGTCGAACTGTCAGCCCTTAGCGACATGCACTTTTACAGATGCAATCAGCAACTGTAAAGCACACACACACACACACACACACATACATACACAGACAATGACATCCGCCCGCTCACATTTCACATAGAAGTGAGGCAGGCAGTCAGCCTTCCTCTTGGCTTCTGTGCGTTGGCAGCTGATGCCGCAGTCTGTAAAATTACTGAACTGAACTGAACGATGACTTGAATGCCGCCGTTGATTGTGGGCGGTTTGGGTTGGGTTGTGGGTGTGAAATGAAATCATGTGGCGCTTGGCCTTCACAAGCATACACATAAATCGTTTATAGCCACACCGAGTCCCGGGACGGGCAACCAGAGCAGCCAGAGCCCCATACTAAGCTACAGCAACAAAGCTGTCGCTGTCGCTGATGCTGCCGCTGATGCTGATGCTGCCCGTGCTCTTGTTGCTGCACGACTTGACTGCTCACACTAAGCCCCCAGTCACCCGCCGGTGTCCCTCCAGTGCCCAAACGTTTTATATATGAATGTGTGTTTGTGTGTATGTGTGAGCATGCAACTTGAGTATTCAGTTTTATAAGTCGCATATGCGGCCTAGGCGAAGCGGCATATGCGCTGCTTAAGTCCATGAGTATCGATGCTGATCATTTCGATAACATTTGTGCTTCATTATCAGCTGGCAAAATGTATCGATATTAATCGTATCAATCGTTACGATAGCTAAGAAACAACTGATGCAAAAGAGAATGCAAAAAAGTTATGGACAGTAGTGAAAAGATCGCGCTACCGCAATGTGGCAGCTGCAAAGTAATACTTCAACGGCAGCCAGCCAGCAAAAACAACAATAACAAAAGTGGCCAAAAGGTATTGGTAGCAAAACAGAAATGAAAATCAAACAGCAAAAAAATAACAGCCCAGGACCGTTGGGGCAACCTTCTCTACACACACTGAGCAAAATCGTCGGAAGTGCGCACACTGCCAAATGGGCGGCTGGCGACTGGCAGCTAGCGACGTGCGGTCCCTGGCACTGGCACTGGCACAGGCAGAGGAGCCACATGGCTTGTTGGTTGTCGGCTAAAGAGAGAAAAATGACTAAATCAAAGGAAGTGCGCCACACGGTGTGAGTAAAAGCACGTACAATACGTTTGTGTGCTTGTGCTTGTGTGAGTTTTGGCTCGTTGGGGTATGTGTGTGTGTGTGTGTGTGTGTGCATGTACGGGTCGTGTTGTTATAAGTATGCCTGTGTGCGATTCTGTCGTGGCGCGTGCTTCGAAAACAGGCAGCATGGCGGCAAAACACAACCCACAAATAAAACCAATTCGTAAAACAATAACTAGAAATAAGGTATTCTAAGAAAACGATAGAAACTCGCAATAATTGAATAACGCAAAAACTAAAGCAGTGCAAGAAGGAGTGAGTGAGAATAACTGTAAATGCGCACTCAGTATTGGCGCGTTAAGCAAAGAAGCAAAACGAAACTAATTAAAATAATATCGATTGATATCGATAAGAAAAGCAAAAAAAATGTTGTTGCAGCAGTGCTACAAAATGACAGAGTTTGCGTTTGCAAGACGCCAACGGGCTAAGGGACGCAACATTTGGGTAATCAAATCAAAATCACTTGCGACCAATTTGTCGGGTAGACACAAAACCGCAATGTGGCAAGGGCAGAGGGCAAGCAAGAGCCATTGGTGTGAAAAAAATTGAAATTTGCGTGAGTGCTCCAACTGCCGCATGGCGTGGCATGGCGGCGACTGCTGACTGCCCTGCTCTGTGAAACTGTGTGTGTGTGTGTGTGTGTGTGTGTGTGTGTGTATATTTATTTGTGTGCCTGTGGGTGGCGTCGTTTGCACACTTCAATGCTAATGTTGGCCCTGGCAGCGGCGTCTGTCGTCGACATGCTCTGTGCTTTTGCCGTGGCAAGCCCCGGCGCTAGGGCGCGTGTCGCTTGTTCGTTTTGGGATTTTGGGTCGTCATCGCTGGGGCAGGGGGCAGGGAGGATTGGTGTGTGTGAGCAGCTTGTCTGTGTGGGTGGCTGGGTGTTGAAAGTTTTACCGTCGGCTGCGCTAATACAAAACAACAACAACAACGGCAGCAACCACAGCAACAGAAAGAACAATTACAGACGCTTAAGACTAGGCAACAGAATTTTTCTTCTTCTTTATTTTAAATTTGAAAACGTCGGCGAAATGAACAATTTCTAGTTTGCGCACTTAACTAGGCAACTCTTTTGGGCCGCCAGCTTCGTTATGCAGCTGCCCACTTAACTAGGCAACGTTTTTAGTCAAATTTCAAATAAACCAACAGCACTGTCAAATTGACTGACACGCACATAAGCTAGACAGCAAATACGGCAAAAAAAAGAGACGTTGAAAAAAGGTTCACAAAATCATATGCCAGGGGCCTGTGTAAACTCCGTCGTCAAAAAGTGTGCAAAAGGTTGCCTATATATCAACTATATATTGTATGTATATACACAAACATTTTCGACGGCTCTGCATGTGTGTGTGCGTGTGTGTGTGCTGGCTTGATCCTCTGCCCTTAAATGACTGGCTTGTGCCGGCACCGCGCCTCTGTGTCGCAAGCCAACAACAATCAACTAAAACCACCGTCGCCGCCAACCACAAATTCAACTCATAGAACTTTGCCGCATGCCAGTGGCGTTAGAAAATACAAAATAAAAAACAAAAATGGAATAAATAAAAAAGGGAATCTAGAAAGAAGAGCTGCTTTAAGGCGCCGAAGAGCAAATACCCTTGCAGACATATAATAAGCTACGGGTTATATTTCTATTGATTTAATACAAAATCTATGGAGGTTAGATAATACAGAAGTCCTTTGTTGATACGATTTTGCACATACCTATGTTAGGAGCTTAGTAGAGCTCAGAATAGCTGAAAAAACGTAAGGTTAAAAATACGTTCGATTGTCTCTATGGAAGCTATATAGTGGTCCGATATTACTTTGATTTTACGCATATCTTGTATAACAACAAATTTAGATATATGGCAGCTATATGATATAGAGGTTCATACCGGCCGTACTGTCAGCAACAAAATGACGGAAAACTGTAGGAATACCAAGCATAGAAACATGGCTGATGATACTGATCACGAATGGATGTGTATACCGTATTGAATTGGAAATGTCATAAGTCGGGACAAGAATATAATACACTTGGCAAGGGTATAGAAAAAGGCAAAAGAGAAATCCGTTTACCCAGGCAGCTCGCACTTTTGAGCCGCTTTTAAGTAGGCGCGCGTTGCAACGCGGCTTTCGGTTTCGCTTGCTGCTCAATAGGCGTGACCTGCCACGTTGATGCTTGAAATATTTTGTGTTGCCTACACAAAAGGCGCAACGGAATGTCTGTGTATGGGTGTGTGTGGGCGAGTGTGTATATATTTGAAAGAAAATAACAACAACTAAGTCCAGGTACAGGTGCGACTGACCGCGCTTGTTGCTATTAAGTATTTTATGGTTTCGCTAGTTTTGTTTTCTGTTTTCTTTTGCACCTTGTTTTTTTCTGCTGTTTTTGTATGCAGGCAATTTGTAAGTTACAGCGTTGCCACCAGCCTCTCAGCGCTGCCACACTGCGAGCGCAACATATAATCGCAGCCAACTTAACAAGGGTATAAAACGCTTAGGCACGCACCTCTATTTTCGCGTTTTATTGGAACGTTATAAGATCATGTGGCCTTAAAGGCTTGCGTATTAACTTGGTAATAGAACCACACATACGCTAAAAAAAACAGTGGGATAGGTAGCTGTACTAGGTAATTACAGTCAGGGACAGGGGAAACAGATCTAGGAGTGCCCAAAGTCGGTAACGTTTTAAATATATATGATCCAAATCGGCTAGCCGCCTTCTAAAGAGACGTAGAATTGGAAGAGTCCGAGTGAGGAGGAGATTGCAGAAGTCTCATCCAGTCGATCTCTCAGACCAGTAGGGCCGACCCTACCTTTGCAAATTTTTTATGTTAGACTTTAGCAGTAAAATTGATAAAAAAAAAAAAAAAGAACAAAACTTAAAAAAGACAAAAAAACTAGCTACTAAATTTTGAGTTCCATCCCTTGTTTAGTTGCTCAAATGAATGTTATTCAATTGTCTCTTTAAATAAAAAGTTTTGTGAATATCTATATATATTGAACGATTCGATTTTTTTTAAAGACGTCTTCGTTTTTGCTGGATTATCAGAAATTTCCATTCACATTCTTCAATATACACTAATCTCTTTGTAGTTTGGCACCTGCTTGTTTAGCGTCTCATATAATATATTTACATTTGATCCAACTATTAAAACGATCTGGCAGCGTGAAATATTTGTAGCACCCGAGTTAAGTTGGCTGCGATCGAACACATTTATGTCAATAATATCTCATTTGTGAGCCATACAATTTTAGGACATCTGTCAATTGCACAATAATCACATAAACTTACACGCCAGCGCACATATAAAACATGTATTTTAATTAAAATTTCAGACAACAACAAAACTTCTGACCACTGTTGCGAGACACCTGGCCAAAACTTCAGGCATTTCTGTCGAGCTTTTAACACGCCCATTGTCTAGCGTCATCTGAAATTCTGCTTAATGAAGCAACGACTACGCTTCCTGTTTCAGCCAATTTAGTGTGAGTATGTAATTCTTTAGCTATTACGGACATTCGCATACCCCCCGCAAAACCAGCAAGACCCAAAACCCCGACCCCCAAACGACCAACCGACCAGCCGACCAACCGACAACATCAGAGCAGCGCACCTGTGACAGGCGGGCGTTGCGACCTGGGGACGCGTGCATAAAAAGTTACGCATACATAAAAGCCCCGTTGTATAAACCTGCCGCCCTCCTTCGTACAATCCAGTTGCCCAATCACAAAAACTCCCCAACCATAAGCCACCTGCCCGCTGGCGACGACCCATGCTTTCAACGTTTATCTCCGGAGCCAGTGCCCCGAGCCGCCGTGACGCGCAATCAGACGCAGTCATTGTGTTTGAGTGAGTGTCTGTGTGTGTGTGTGTGTGTTAGGGTTTGTGTGTGTGCAGAAAATGGTGGCAACAAAATGTCCCACAATTACCACTGAGGCCACATCTAACGAAGCCGATGATGATTCCTATGACAATTTCTCTATAGCTGGCAAGTGGCAACGGTCCCGACGCAACACTGGCTTTGCCCTGGCCTGAACTGGCGCTGCCCTTCTTCTGCCCAAATCCAACTAACAATCAGACATTGCCACCGCCACTCGCCGGTTTGGATTGGGTTACGGGATGGGATGGGGGCCGACGGGGCGATGGATAGCCGGGGCCAGACGACCAGCCAACGCCATCCATTTATGCCCAACGGCAACAGCAGCGTTTCAGTGTGTCCGTCCCAAGCTGTCCGTGCTGTCCGGGCTGTCCAAACGGTTCGTGCCTCAAGCCCCGCCATGTCTTCAGTTTCAAAGTTTTCTCATGTAACCAGCCAGACCAGGCAGCCACGGGTTGGGTGGGGCCAAACGGATGAATGAGCGGACGTGCCAGCCCAGACTCATGCCAGGAGCCAGCCAGGAGCAAACGTTGCTTGCCAACGACGCGGCATTGCGGCTAAAAAGCCATGCCAATGCTCAAAGGCTGCTAGCAGCTAAAGCAGCGACGGAATGCCTATTACAACGACAGCAACAACCAACAACAGCAACAACAGCAACAACCAACAACAATCCAAACAGCAGCAACGTTTCAGACGACACACGCCAACACCAACACAAACAGCAGACCCAGCACCACATGGACATGGCGTGTTAGACAGCTACACGGCTCCACACCAAGCAAAAAAATAAAACAAGGCAGAACAGTTAGCTACATTGCGTCGAATATGAAATACCCTAACTGAGGTGTGATATACGATAAAAGTATTGTGCAACAACTAAAGAAGAGTGTTGCATAACTCGTGAAGCTGCAATTACTAAAGAAGAGTGTTGCATAACTCGCGAAGCTGCAATAACTAAAGAAGAGTGTTGCATAGCTCGTGAAGATACAATAACTAAAGAAAAGTGTTGCATAACTCGTAAACTCGTAACTCGTAAAAACTCGTATTTTATTTTCGGTCAAAAGCTTTCATTTGAAACATAATGACTCCTTAAATAGGAAAACTCTACTGGCGATTGCTCCTATGGGCTCTATATTATAGTGTTATCTCTTTCCGTATTATATCAAGAAAATTTTAAGACTGAATGATAAATTGGCTATGAAAGAGACAGGGAAGAGACAGACCTTCAGGCGGACATGACTATATCGCTATATCGGCAGATGTATCATATATTTATGTATATATATTTCCTTTTATGTGTTACGAATTTCGTGACAAATCGAAGTACACCCACTGCAAGTCACACACACACCACAAAATAAAGGGACCAAACGTACCCTACGGCCTCTGGCGCGACCTTTGTGAGGATGTGTTTGTGTACCCTGTAGGAAACTTTTGAGCTGCTCAAACTCATTAGACCTCCATGGGGCTGTGATGTTGTGAAGTTCTATGAAATCAGTCATCAGCATTCAAGTCCTATAGGGCAGTAGATCATTTCTTATAAAGTATAAGAGTAATAATATTCAGAAAAACCTCGTTAAAAATATCTTTTAGTGGAACATGAATTGGCGTATGGCAAAAGTTCAGGGTATTGAACTGTGTTGTATCCTTTAATTCAGTTTTTTTTTCATTTAGAGTGAAATTAACGATCTGCAAATCATTTTCTGCTATTTATCTATGAGAAGTTTGCGGAAAGTAAAAAATGTAAAACCAATGTCTCAGTTCCCCACAATAGTTTTTGGGCTCTACTTTTTTATTGTGCGTATTATATATTAAATTATTTTATATTTTTTTAGAAAATTGTTTCTAAAATTATAACCAGACTATAAAAGTACTTCCCTTGTTTGGCCATTAGGAGGGCATGAAAATTAGTCTATTTTATTCAAAATATTTTCTTTATTCAGCGTAACTTGCATAGAGTCGCTGTCAAAAGCATGTTTCAGTGCATTTTTCATGCACAACCTTCCAGCTGGGTGTTCGGCTGTGCGTGGGCGTGGGCGTGTGTGCAAAATCAGCCAACGCAAGCTGCCGCCGCCAGTACGTCTGGCTTCCGTTGGCTGTGTGTGTGTGTGTGCTGCTGTTGTTGTTGTTGTTGGTGGAGTTGCCAGCAATTATTCCGTTAGTGCTGGATCACACCCCCAACCAAGCCGTCAGGCAGTCGAGCAGTCGAGCAGCCATCCTGGCAGTCAACAGCAGGAAGGGCGCGTTCGCGTGGCTCGTTACCCACACCAAATGGCGCAGCTGCTGCCTCAACTTCTGCAACCCACAGCTCCCACGGCAACCACTGCTGCTGCTGTTCCTCCCGCTCCTGCTCCCGCTCCCGCTCCTGCTGCTGTTTGTTGCCAGTTTTTCCTTTGGGGCTGCCGCTGCCCGTCGTTGTTGCCGTTGCTGTTTTTTGTCGACACTTTTTCACGGTTTGCTCGCTTGGCTGCTCTTTCGTGCGTTGCCAGTCCCAGTCGCAGACCCCAAACCGCCCACACCACCCTTCTCCGCCCACCAATCCACAATCCCCAAAGCCAGCTGCACACTGTGTGCTGGCGCGGCTGCTGCTTGTGGGGTACCCTGTATGCATGAGCAAAAAAGGGTATATTGCAATTGTGCCAATGTATATAACAGGCAGCAGATGGCTCCGCCTACTCCATAAAGTATAATGCGCTTCGCCAAGTCCCACTATCCCTCCGCCTGGAAGTACGCATCTGTCTTTAAAATTTTGGGAGAGAGCGATTTAATTGGAAATGCAGTCTGTCCGGTAACTATAAATATAAAATCTAACCCCGTTTTTTGGGCATGTATCGCAAATTTGACAAAGTTCATATACATTACAATTAACTATTGCTTAAAAATCTATAAATATCGAAACATTACCTCGATTTTAAGAGGATTTTTCAAAGATTATTAAAGCTAGAGGTTTAAACAATGGTATGTGGGTTCTTGTAAAAAAAAAAAAATATTCAATGAATATTTTTCATGCCACTAAATCATTATTTGAAAATCGATAAGTATCGAAATCTAGCCTGGAATTTTTGGAAATATTTTATAGATTCGAAAAACTAGACACCAAATTTTGTTGAAAATTCTTTTAAAGCTAGCAGATATAAGAAAACATAAATTTTTTGTATAAACAAATATATAAATGCAAACAGATGAAATTATTCAAAAATACATTTTTTCTCGATTTTGGACATGGAAAGACTGTGATATGGGGTATATGTGATATTTTACATGCACTCGTATATAAAGATGGGAGAATACAGTGTCTTGTACAGGGTATCTTTCTAGTCGAGTACTGTCTTATTTCGCTTTAGGGGTGCGCGCGCGCTCGCTCGTTCGTTCGTTCGTTCGTTGAGCTTTGGCTTTGCTCTTCTCGACGTCCTTTTTTGCCAGAAAATCAAAACACACGTCTCGGCGTGCGGCGCACATCTGCATGGAATTTCTAAAGTACGTGCCACGGACAAATGGACAGACAGGGGCAGCAGAGGTGGGGCTTTTCCTTCCATTTTTATTTTCCATTGCGGCGCTTGGCCTGCCACAGACGCAGCCGTTGCCACAACCAGCAACTTTGGCGTCTCGTCGACGTTGGCGTTGTGCACATTCATGGTGTACATAGCTACCACAGCAGCCGGGCGGGCAGGCAATCCGTTGTCCTCGTGTCCTGTTTGTATGTTTGACGGCATGGCATGGCGTGAACAGGACCTTTTTTCCCGACGTTGCGCATAAAGTGAAAAGTTACACTGTGCAAAAAGCCCGCAACACTCAACAAGTATGCCTTTGCCTTTGCCTGCATGCTGCCAGAGTTAATAGTGTTGGAAAATTTCTATTGCATACTTTCGTGGGCTTGAAAAATTTCTTGAACTTTTTAGCTTTTTGTTTGAAAATAACGTATGTTACGCTATATTAAAGCGAAGAGTTCTAATAATTGTTGTTGCAATGAACTACTGCTACTTGGAAGTACAATATTTTCATCACTCAGCTTCTTTGAATGAAATATGATTTGGGTTCTTAAAGGCTGTGTGATCCTTTGCTATATTTTCAATACTATTACATCTACTTTATGAAAAACCAGTGTTGGGAATGTAAACATTTTTATGAAGAGTTTTTGTAGATCTCCCTTTTTTGTGGGTTCAACATCCAACTCCACACAAATTTAACAGGATTTGAAAAATGTCTACTTTATTTTGAATTGAGATCAACTATATTTTATTTTGAACATGTTCAGGTATTTTAAACTCTGCCTTAAAAAGTCTTTTGTGATAATATGCATTGATTGTATTTTAGGATAGAAATATATGATATAGAAAATCTCATAAACTTCACTTCAACATAATGAATAAATCCTCATCCCCCCCATGAAGTTAGTTATGGTAGCCCCAATCGATGGAATTTACGATTGTTGTTTGACTTAATTGGCCACGGCTGCGAGCCGTGGCTAGATGTAAATATTTGCTTGCCGTGTAAAAGCAACGGGCGCGTGCGGTGTTCAAGCTTGGCATGATAATTTCTCGCTCCACAAATCAACTGGTATGTACGCGCCGCGCGCAATTCTAACACCCTTCAACAATAAACAGCATGTCACTTAGCTCAAACTTCAAGAGTGCGGTGCGCTGGGTAAAAATGGCAACGCGACGCGACGCGACACAACGTGGGGCACGGCAAGGATACAGGACAACGACGCTGAGAAGGGCAGTCATCGACGTCGTCGTTATGCGTCCCAAATGCCGCCAGCGCCAACATGCTTCCGTGCCGTGCCATAGAATTTTTTTTTTATTTGTCTTTGGCGGCGGCAGCTTTTGACTAGCAATGTAACGGGGTAGCACAGTGGCACAAAATTTAATTTGAATACCAATCAATACCAAGACAAAATGGGAAACTAGACGAAAAAAATACTGCTAAAAAGCACTTGCAGGAATTCCCAATAAAACATATTTCAAAGAGATTTTTTCTTCTATGATTTGATTAATTTTATCATTAAAAAATAATTCAACTATTTTGTTGCTAAACGCACCACTGTACGTTGAGAACGACAAAGTTCTGTTTGCTTGAGGGGTCGAGCTTGTCGTTGTTTGGGTGGGGCTGGGCCTGGACAGGGTGTCGCACTGGCGATAATAAACAGACACACATACACAAGCAAGCGAAATGACAGCCAGAGCTGAAGTGTGTCTGATGGGCGTCGTCAGGCTCAAGCTCTGGCGGCAGCTACGCTTGTTGATATTGTCGCACTTGTGTCGCCAGCACAGTGGTCGAAAGAGCGCTGAAAAGTGAGAATTTTTGTAAAATTATATCGTTATCGTAAGCCAAATTATAGACGCGCATATTTGAAATTAAGCGCTAATTAGTATACGTTTGGTATATACCACACATTCAAGCAAATAAAATATATTTAATTTTACGTCTGGCCACACTGTACCTGTAAGCATTTTGATTGTCATGGCAATTCGAAAGCATTTGTCGGTAGCTCTGCCGCCGCTGACGCCCCGGCCAACGTCTGGCGCACTCACTGGCAAACTGGCAACCCCATAACCTCAGACCTGGCCGCCCCCACATGCTCGACTGGCGCAACGCTAGCAGCAGCTACTTGCCACATTTGGCTTTCTGCCAGGACCATGACTGTGTTCGTGCCGGGTGCGGTGGGTGCGGCAACTAAAAATGCGACGTGCGAGATTATCGTGTCGCTTGTTGGTCGGCAACGTTGGCAAATACATACATACACACACACACATATATACATATATATACAGGCGCGCATACTGAAGTAGTTGTTGTTGCCGTTTTTTGCGGCTGTGCGTCCCTTCGCCCCCGCTGTGTCAAGGCTCGCTGGCAGCACAACTTACGCTACTGATGGCGTTGATGATGGCAAAAGGGCAACAACAGCAACAAAAACAACAACAACAATAGCAACAAAAAGTTTGCAGCAGCGTGCGCGCGAGGATAACGACACGAAGCGAACGCCAACGATGGCTGATGTGGATGGCATAAAGCAGAAGGAGAGTGGGCTGCGTGCATGTGTTTGTGTGTCTGAGCGTGCGTGTGAGTGTGTGCGGGTCTGTGCGACTAATTGGGTGAGAGAGAATGTGGGCGCTCAAATTGGTTTCGTGCTTTCGTGTGACGCGTGCGGAGGCGTGTAAGCTCTGTGTGTGGGTCTCTGCGTGTGTGTGTGTGTGTGTGTGTGTGTGCGCACACGGGCAGGGCGCCTACTGTTGTTGTTGTTGCTGCATGGCATGAATGCTTGATGCGTGACGGCAGCGACCGCCAGTTGTTGCCAGCAATTGGAACGGACGTAGGACAACGTACGGACATGGACACAGCACAAAACAAAACAAAAAAAAAAGAATAGAAAAAAAAAGAAAGGAAAAATACAATTTGCGTCGTGTGGATGTGGATTTTATTTGTATTTTTTTTCACAAGTTTACTTTTGTTGTTTTGTGCCCTGTGCTTGGGATTTGCACGCTCGTGCAAGGACTCGACACCTAGCAAACCAACCGACCCGCACCGCCCCCTCGCCCACTCACGTTGCCTGTTTATGTCATATTGTTTATGCTGCCCGCACCAACGCGAACTGCGCCATTTTTAAGCGACCCGTTTTAGTTTTTCTTACATACCGTTTGGGTGAGCGCGGCGGCGGTGCGTTGCTGTCATCGCACCCTGCTCCTTGTTTAACCCAACCGCCGTCGCCCCCCTTTCCCGCACCCAACTCTTCCTGTTTTTGTTTTGTGGCTGACTAAGTTGAATTCAAAGCTGACGGCGCCGTGTGGGTAACATCTGTGTCTGGGCAGCCCTATAACGATTTTTTTTTTTGCATAAAATTCGCATACAGAATTTTTGAGGACGGTTATGTAGAGATCGGATCAGAGAACTAAAATATATGTGCTTAATTCCGAACTGGTTCATAATAACTAGTGATGCAAGTGATCACATATACAGTTAGGTGTGAACCGGTTCGTTCAAACAAAAAACCACTAAAAATAACCGAAAAGGAATTATCTCTGGTATATACTGTGCGAGCGAATCGCAATGTTAAAAAAAAGATCTATGTTGGAATCCGATTCGGTTCTTTTGTCCGTTATTTTTATTGATCTTGACGCAAACAAATCCGAAAAAATAACCGAAGCTCTGGTGAAAGCTTCGTTTATGATTCTGGCAAACTAAATTTAATTATATTTCTTTGATAAATATTTGAAGGAATAACAAACAAATTAATATAAACGTGTTGCTTCAAGCAACGAACCACTAAGAATACATAGTTGTAAAAGCCGTGAAACGCCAGCAACTAGTAAAGTGGTTCACTTGACTGCTCCGGGGGAGGACAGTATAAGGCCGCACCGTACCGGGCTTAAATCAAAAAAGCACCATAATTCGCCACAGGATGTCTGTAGCAAAGTTTGTTACTGTTTCGTGTGGGTGCACGATAAGGGCGACAAGTGGCTGGCGGTAAGAGAGTGGCGGAGGGTGGAGGGAGCCTGGGGGGGATTTAAGGAATAAGGACGCATATCGCGCTGCGCTCACTTGACGCATTTGGAGTTCCACTTGACTGTGCGACTGCGACTTGACTAACGGCAGGGAGTTTGGTTATCCTTATGCAGCTGTGTTTGTCTGTGTGTGTGTGTTCGCGCGCGTGTGTTGTGCTTATACAAGGCACACTCACACACACATACATCGGCAGACAAACATTTTCGCATGACTCCGTGCCTGCGCCGACAGATGGACGTTTCCTTGTTGTTGTTGTCGCACGCTTAAGTAGTATAGCCCACCCGTCACACGCACACACACGCACACACACACCCACATAGAGCCACCCACCCAGGCGATGGCGCCGGCAACACAGACAACTTGCTGCGCACGCCGGATGTGGATGGTTGGCGGAGGGGGGCGAAAGGAACACGTAAACAGCGTTGAATTACAGCCTGACAAACGGGGCGTTGAAGTCTCGAACTTAAAAGTTATGTCTGTATGTGGGTGTGGGTGGGTGTGTGTGGGTGCGTGGTGGACTTGGGTCGGGGGGAAGCATGGTGCTGTCTGTACGTCTGGTTGTGGGCGCACGTCTGAACTGAACTGAGCCTGTGCATCATTTATAAGCCATGCTAGGCCACAGATTGTCTCGACACCAATGCCCCCACGCCCTCCACCCAAACCCAAACTTGCGCTACCCATTCCCTTCGCTTGCCTAACCGCCTAACCAAAGCGCGCACGCAACCAAGCTGATGATGAGTGCACGCCAGCCATAACTTGATGACTCTGCGCGGGGGTATGAGGGATTTGGATTTGGTTGTGGGTGTGGGTGTGGGCTTAAGGTGTCACGTGCGCCGGTTCCTTGTTGCTGCCGTTGCTGCTGTTTCTGTTTGTGCACATAATTCATGTGCCCAAGTCGAAATGAAGAGCAATTTATTGAATAATACTTTCACGCCATGAGGTCAATACACAAAAGGCGATGTTGTTGCCGCGTCAGACAACAGGATCTGGCAGCGTCGAACTTTGACCGCGTATTGGAATTCAAATGCGGCGTACATGTCAATCGTGCCGCAACTTTTCCCATCTATCAGATATATATATATGCATATAGTATATATGTGTATATATATTATATGCATGTCATGTTTGTTTTCTAGTTGAGCACGAATTGTGAAAAGATGTTCTCTATTTAAAATAACTGCAGCGGCTGATAGGAAGCTTTATGCCATGTTTAGTTGTCCTATAAATGTAATATTTTGGCCCTATTACATATTTTGTTTAAAACAAATTGTTGCCCATCATTTGTTGCTTTGATTTCTAGCTTGATATTTAATACTTCAAATCTATACATATTTAATTTAATAATACACATGAAGCCTTGCTTTGCTTTTCATGAGAATGAACTTAATATTGAAAAAAAAAAAATTTGCTCACTTTTTCTTGGCCAACACAGATGCCGATGCCGGGCAGATATGCCTATTGAGGCACTCGGAGCAATTGGGCTTAACTGGCGTACAGATAGTCTGTCCAAAGCCCACAAGTAAATGATTAACTTCAGACCAAAGTGGACGCGGCAGCCAGCTCTCTAGCTGAACGCGCGTTTGTTCTGGCTCCTTGGTGGACTTCTTTAGCCAAGCCAAGCGATTGGCAATGCGATGCACATGCGTATCGACGCCAATGCCGGTGATTTTGTTCCAAGCCGTGGCCATGCAAATGTGCGCCATTTTGGGACCAACTCCCGGTAGCTTCAACAGCTCCTGTATATTATCCGGAATATCCTCGTTGTACTTATCCACGAGTATTTGCGCGGTTTGCTTTAGATATTTGGCTTTGTTCTGAAATGAAGATTCAATTTGAGATATCTGTCTTTAGAGCTATGTGTTGTACAAACTTTATAGAAGCTAACAGGATGCAACAAGCGCTCCAGCTCCACCGCTGGCATACCCTGTATGTTGGCAGGAGTTAAAGTTAGCGCTTTCAAACGTTTCATGGCTTCAAAAGTGGTTTCATCTTTGGTCTGGCTGGAGAGCATCAGAGCAACCAATTTGTGAAACCGTTGCGTCTGTTAATTTAGATTATTGTTTAAATATTGTTAACCTAATTAAGCCACTACTCTGCACCACCTTTTCATTGGCATTTTGATCGGCACACTGATGACAGCCCAGAGTATCCACAGGCGCCGGCTTTTCGCAGCGCATCAAGCGAATGTTTTCCAAATGTTGCAACCAGTTGGCATTTGGAAAGTCCTGCTCGGTATTAACGGCAGCAGCTTCCTCTACTTTCAATTCCAATAAGGTCTCGTTAGGCGGCACCACTTCACATTTAATTATAGTCGCAGTACCAATTTTTATTTTGGAGGTTTTTGAAACTTCATCCTGGCGCGCTTTTTTGGCGGGCAAATTTGATTTGGGCAGTGTATTCACTTGTCGCTGCTTGCGTGTTTGCACAGGTGAAAAGTAGCGTGGCGCAGTTGTAGCAGCAACGCTGTGCAAATCCTCAATGTCCTGAATGTTGAAAAGAAACTTAAAGGTTAATTTGAAGCCTATTTAAACATACTCACCCACAGTTCTTGCTTGGCAGTTGTGGCCTTTGGTTTTGTTACTTTAATCTGTTTAGCCAGTCTGCTTGACAAAGTTGTCTTACCGCTGACGTTTTGACTAGTCATGGCTCTAAAACAATTTTTGTATATACGCAGCATTCATTAACAAAATTCAATTATTGTAAAACAATAAGAAAAGCACAAAGAAACTTGCGTTCTGCAGCTGGCTTGCAGTGTGGCCGTTTTCATGTGTGTAAAACAGCTGTTTTGTGTTTATGCCTGTTGCCAGAGCAACGCACTCGTTCAGTGTGGAGTCGCACGTCAAGTGAGGAGCATGTGCTGTTAGTATTTTTCGAAAACAATTTTTGCAATATCTACACTTTACTTTCATTGCAATTTGCAACCACACTGTTTTACATTCATAAAATTAAAGTAGAATTAACTTAAAAAGTACCATTTTGGTTAATACAAATAAATTAACATGCTTGCTACGTTGCAGCTTAATCCCGATTACTAGGTGTACTAAATTATAAAGTTAAATTTAATATATAAAACTACACATAATGCCTGATTGTGCGATAAATTGTATATGAATCGGATTTTGTGTATATTATAAAACAATAAATGTTAAAACTATTAGTGCCAGTGGGAGAGATTCACGCACACAAAAATGCATTGTTAGACTCAAGAATTTAAGTGTTATTGCTGGAATAAAAGTGTATAAATTATATACAGTACTTCCAAACACACACACACACACACACACACACAGAGTTGTACATTTGACGGAAACGAAAAATTGCATTGGTAAGTCGTGTGTCCCCCATCACAACAAATAACAAACAAATTGTTATAATTTCGAAATAATTAGTTGCTGTGTGATGTTGAAGTGCGGAAAATATGCGTAATCGCTGGATGGAATTTGTACATTTCCCCATTACATATATTTATTTGTATCTATATACATGTGGGTGTAGATATGTTGATATATAGGGTATACATATGTACCATATGCCTTATCTCATGCGTCACTTCAATTTCTTAGTTTTGCTGGGCGACTCCTTCAAATACAGCTGCCTCAGATAATGTGAGGACAACTGTTTTCACACTTTCATTCTTAATCATTATTAATTCTGATTCATATTTCTATCCAATAAAGAGTGTCATTTGGCATTTGAAAGCGAAGAGCGCGTGCTAACGCAAATTTAGAATATTTAGATAGCTCTTACAGTTTATCTAACACAGATTTTAATTGATGCTGATAATGCCCAGCATTAATTATAATTATATTCCAGTTTTCAAGCTTTAAGTAGTGTACTAATTATGTACTAATATGAGGTGAAACTTGCACTACCTGCATTTCTCTTCAACCTTGCAATTTGTTGCCAAAAGAAACTGTCCAGCCTAGATAATTACTTAAAAATACTTTAAATACTATAGAACGTAGTAAATACTATATAACAATATGTACTTAAATACTACGCTACCTGCATTGTCTTTGTGCCATTCGAGGTGCTGCAAAAAAAGAAGGTAGCCCGCGTCATCTTGAAATACATAAACATACATACGTATGTATATTTCCAGTTAGACATGCGCTGGTTTTGTCGTTTGACCCAAATATATTCGATGCTCTCCCCCACAATTCAGCAATGTATTTGACACAAATTCGAAATGCTATCATAATTTATCAATAATTTAGCATATATTATAAAGTTTTTTTTTTTTGTTATCAGGCGACTGAAACGCAACAATCAAATACTGGAATGCGCGCCTCCATTCCGCCCGGCGTACGTGTTGTACGCGGCCCAAATTGGATTTGGTCGAATCAAGGTAGGATGTTATTTTGTTTACCCATTTCAGGCATTGACTAGCTAAAACAATTTGTTTATATTATGTATAATTGAATGGGTGTCTCTCTCTCTCTGTGTGTACCTATTTACACACAATAAACGATCAGCACTTTGATTGCTGGCAGTGAGTGTAAAGAGGACGGGGCGCTATTTTTAGCCGCACTCACAACGGAATGTTTCCCAAATGTCTCTGCATTTGGCGCTGCCGCTTTAAACGCACATAATATACAACATGTGTTGGGGCTAGTGGTAGGAGAGGTGCGAGGTGGGGACAGGAGAGTGCACACACATATGTGACTCTTTCCACATAATTTTTCACTCCACTGTCATAAAAGAAGTGCAGCGCTGCCTGTCGTCGACGTTGTCGTCGTCGCCTGTTGGGGCGCGTGCCATTTGAATATCTTGTATTTTTAGACATGGAGCAGGGGAGGGGCTGGCCAGAATTGCAGCTGCAGCACGGCACTGGGGAGAAATAAAGTTATATAAATAGCATTTAAATCTTAATTATTAGCTAAACAGTTGTTTTAAAGAGAATGAACAGCAAGACGAATATTCTCAGCTTTTTAATGGGCTGTTACTAACATTTTGATGGTTTGTTAACATTTGTAGGTTATGTTAAATATTAAATGTTAAATATTTTCATACACTTGTGTTTATTTACAATTGTTTTTATAATATAAAAAGTTGCTCAACCTTCGTCAAACTTCTGATATGTAATAACTCTTTTGCCACAAGGCGACCAAAAAACTATTAAAAACGGGGGAAGCTTAACAACGTTTCCACAAAGTGAGTTATTCTTGTGCTACTTACCAAATATTCAGTCTCATTATCTACCTATAAAAGGTATGCATCTGGTACTGATTTCTTTATCAGAAAAATGCAGCTGTTGATCTTGTTTAAAATTATATATAATTTATTGGTTCGAAGTAGCCTTCGCATCCTGTTACTTCTTTTCCTAGCGATGGTCGGGCAGGAAAAGCATAAATAATCATTAACAGCGCAACTTTAACATTGTCTATGTTAACATTTACAGTCCTGCCCCAACACAATGTTAATGTCAAAAATAAATCAAACGACCGCCTATTAACTGACAGGCCAAGAGGATGGGGGTGCTGGGAAGTTGGGCATCGGCATATTTAAATATAGAGTGCAGCTGCAGACGCCGTATCTGTATCCAAATGAAATTCCTATACAACTCTCGCGCTGTTTGCTGTGGGGCAGATGTTTGGCATGAGCCAAGAGCTCCGAGTCGTTGTGGTATTCGCGCCGGATGAAACATTTTCTTGGTAGTTCGTTTTCTTTTGGGGTGTGAAGCGTCTTAATTTATAAATAGCTCTTGAGCTGTCGGCAAACTGAAACGGGGGAAGGAAGCTGTGAAAAATTTAAGAAACTGAGCTCCATTACAAAATCCATTTCAATTGATTTTTAATTTCTAACCAACAGACGACGGAGAAGGACACGTTGGCACCGTTTGTGAAATAGGACGCTGTGGATCCACACATTCACCGGAGAACACGGTTGTGGTCAATTGGGATTCGGGACATCGCACCAACTACAGAGTGGGCTATCAAAATCAATACGATCTGATCATTGTGGATAATGCACAAGTTGGTAAGTGAAACTATCTAACGAGAGCTATAAAACTAGATTTCATTTAAACAATTCCTCCTCCCTCGACATTTCCAGGTGTTCGTCATTCGAATGTCGTGTGTGATGGCTGCTCAAAGGCGGGCATAGCTGGCATTGTCTTCAAGTGTGCCCAGTGCACCAATTATCATCTGTGCGCCTTCTGCTACGGCGCGAATGAGCACGATTTGGAGCATACGTTTGTGCGTTATACTACGCCCACATCCTTGGGAGTACGTGTGCCAGCGCGTAAAGGCTCGGAGCGCATACAATTACGCGGCATCTTTGTGGGCTCGAGGGTTGTGCGAGGTCCAGACTGGGAGTGGAACAATCAGGACGGCGGCGAGGGCAAAACCGGGCGTGTTATGGAAATACGCGGCTGGGACAACGAATCTTGTCGCAGTGTAGCAAACGTCTCGTGGGTAACCGGTTCTACTAACGTCTATCGACTCGGCCACAAGGGCAACGTCGATCTGAAATATATAGCAGCAACTTGCGGTGGACATTACTATAAGGACCACATGCCAGTGCTGGGCCAAACCGAGGAACAACAGCCAATCGTGTCCATGGTCAAGCCAAGCTTCTCTGTGGGCGACCGTGTCAAGGTGTGCCTCGAGGTAGATGCACTGATGAAGCTACAACAGGGACATGGTGGCTGGAATCCGCGCATGGTCGAGCATTTGGTCAAACTGGGCACAGTGCATCGCATCACCGAAAAGGGAGATATACGGTGAGCATAGCAAGACTGACTGACTGATAGATTGAATGATTGATGATGAACGCACAGCTCAAATCAAAGTCTAGAAAGCTAGAATTTCGTTTAAGATTGACGCAAGTATAGAAAAATCGTAAAAAAAAAAAAAAATGCATTCAAGTCACGTTTGCATCCGACCATTTTAAGAATTTATTTAACGCTTTGTGCTACTTTTTCCAATTACAGAGTCCAATATGAAAACTGTCCCAATCGCTGGACCTTTCATCCCGCCGCACTCGTCAAGGTTGTATCGTTTCGCGTTGGCGATTTGGTGACAATTATAAATGATGCACAAAAAGTACAGCAGCTGCAAAAGGGACACGGCGAATGGATTGATATCATGCGCTATGTAAGTTCCAAAATGGGAATAAATTAGATTATGTTGCAACTTAACTAACTCATGTGCTTCGTTTTAGGCTCTGGGCAAACTCTGTAAAGTGGTTAAGGTGTACTCGGATGGGGATTTGCGCATACAGCAGCTGGATGATGGCTTTGAGTGGACACTTAATCCGAAATGTGTCAAACTGGAGCGTTCGCCATTGGCAACGGCAGCGGAACGTTCCAATAGCATGATGGATCTGAGCCATCGCCGTACGGATCATGTGATGACACCGCTTTCTGGTCTCTCTGGCAGCTCGGTGCCCGATAAGCTGGTGCGTGAGGCGGCACAGGGTCATTTGGATTTTGTGAAGCAATACCTGGATTTAAATCCTAGTCAGGTGGATGTTATGAGCGGCGGCAAGGCTTGCATACAGGTGGCCTCACATCAGGGCTACGTCGAGCTGGTCACCTACCTCATCTCCAAGGGCGCCAATGTGAATGTCGTTGACAAGGAGGGCGATTCAGCTTTGCATTATGCTGCATTTGGCAATCAACCCGAAACGATGCGAGTGCTGCTCGAGCATGGCGCCGAGGTCAATTTCCTCAATTCCAGTCACTGCTCAGCTCTGCACATTTGCGCGCACAAAAAGACGCCGCATTGCGTGCGCGAACTATTGCAGCACAATGCCAATGTGAATATTCAGGACTCTTACGGGGATACGGCACTACACGATGCTATTGGCAAGGAGAACACCGAAGTCGTTGAACTTCTATGCAATGCACCAAATTTAGATTTTACGGTCAAGAACAATCGCGGCTTCAATGTGCTCCATCACGCAGCGCTCAAGGGCAACGTGGTGGCCGCTCGTCGGATTCTTCAGCTGTCGCGTCAATTGGTCAATGTGCGCAAGGACGATGGCTTTGCGGCACTGCATCTGGCTGCGCTCAACGGGCATGCACAGGTCGTGGAAACGCTGGTCACCGAGGGCCAGGCCGAGCTAGATATACGCAACAATCGACGGCAAACGCCATTCCTGTTGGCCGTCTCGCAGGGACATGCAAGCGTTATAGAGCGCCTGGTGAAACTATCATGCGATATTAATGCCAAGGACGAGGATGGCGACAATGCCATGCACTTGTGCGTCATTAAGAAATCCAATTTACAGCAGGCAGCCGAACCATCACCGGAGGAGGCGCCCGAAATACACAAGTTCTTTGTCAGCCTGACCCAGACGAGCGTGCGCAGCGAGGATCGTCTGATGTACAGCGTTCTGATCTATCTATCGCGACATGGCTGCCGCGTCGAGCTAAACAATGCCAATGCCAGCATTTTTGAATGGATCACCGATCGTAATATACGACAGCTCATCTTTGGCCAGCAAACGGAGGAGCCCACTGTGCCAACGGCGGCGATACCGACGCCGCTGCAGCGCAATATGCAAGCTCTAGACATTGGCGCAGCTGACGAAACGCCAGCGATTGTGGCTGCTGCTGGCGAGGATGCAGCAGCGACTGTAAGTGCAGGCACATTAACGCTGCCCCCGCCGCCATCGTTGACGCAGCCCAAGCCCAGCGAGGCAACAGCAGCAGCTGCTGCTGCTGCTGGCATGCAACCATCACCAGGCAACAAGAAACTCAATTCGGATGCAGCCAGCAGTGTATCGCCTCAGGTGGCGCCCCGTAAAAAAGCACCCAAGCCACCAGCACAAACAGGAACAACGTGCAGTGCCGCAACGAGCAGCGAGTCAGGCGGATTGCCGCAGGTTGCATTGATCGGTGCGGTCGCAGCAGCAGCATTGCCGGGCCTTATCTCTGGCCAGCAGGAGTGTATTGTGTGCAATGAGCCGCTGCAGCTGGTGCGCTTCGGTATGCCAATATGAAGCCCAACAATAGCCACATTCTATATTAATCACAAATTCATTTTTTTTAGAACCATGTCTGCATCAAATTGCTTGCGAAGAATGCAGCATACGCATGAAGAAGTGCCTGCGCTGTGGTGTTGCCATCGAGAGGCGCTTGGACGCCAATGGACGTCTGGTGGTCGGCCATCAGTTGTCATCCACATCGTCGCCCAGCGATCAGGCGCGCCTGCCATCCGGTGATCTCTTGCGCTATCTGGAAAACAAGGTGCAGGAATTCGAAGAGTCTCATTTTTGTGGTATTTGCATGGAACGCAAACGGGATGTGGCCTTCCTCTGCGGCCATGGCGCCTGCTCCCACTGTGCCGAAACCTTGCGCACTTGCCACATGTGCCGCAAGACGATACTAAAGAAGATCAATCTGTACTGAGCACTCGGTGCACTCTAGCTATACGCAACCAAAGTGGCTTGTATATACACCATAAAGATGTTTAAAACTTATATATTATCAAGGATTTAAGTGGCGTGTCATCAACAGCTGATACTATCATTCGTTCCACAACCCATGCTTGCGTTAACTCACCAAGTTTATTATTTATTAAACAACAATTATTTTGCACGTACCATACCCACGCACACACACACATGCACACGCACGCACACACACGTCTATAGTCTATTAGCATCGTTTAACGACAACGAAAACCCAACTAAATACGATTAGATGATTAATAATATAAGCATTTTAATTGCAATTGAGCTGTATATTGGGAATTATCGCCAAATAAGACTTCGAGTCGTTGTGATCTTCAAATTACAACATGAAAATCACACTTGGCTGGGTATCCAGTGTCAGGACTTCGCGGAATAAAAACTAGAGAGCTCCTCCAGGGTAAGTTTCTGCATTAAAGCCATCAACCTTTCTAATAAGTAAATTACACATGTATCGGCACATAAAGCTCGATTTGCTTGATACTAGGGTTTCATTAATTTAAGAGGGCAACAAACTAAACTTGATATTTCAAACGCTACGCCAGAAAAAATACCAAAATTGCATCGTCAAAAAAATACTGCATTTAATCGATAATAAGAAATATGGAATAGCATCGATAACGCAAACAAACTGAGTACATATCGCTTTCGGACGTACTTGTACTTGAGCATAACGCGACGAAAAAACACACACGTCACAATATATTAAAAAAAAATAAGATAATACCCACGCGTGTGTATAGGAACCCGGCTAGCTATGTCAAAACAATTGGCTGATTTGCAGCCGACAAAGTTTCAATTCTATCAGAAGATAGCACTTGGCATTCTGCTCGTAGCCATAGTGCTCTCCCTGCCCACAATATGCCAGAGTCAAAGCAATCCCAGTTTTAAATACTCCCGCGAAGCAAATGAAAATTTTGATGCTAAAAATGCGCCGCCGGTAAATCACGAACATCACCACGATCATGATCATCATGACCACGACCACGGCCATGATCATCATGACCATCTCCACCATGACCACGATCATGATCACCACGGACATCACGAACATCACGAACACCAGCACACAAAGTCGGTGCCGCTGGGTGAGCTTCCGCTAGTAACAAGTGCATTTAGTTATTGTAATCGATTATTTTTAAACAGATATGAAGAGTATCTGGCTGCACTCAATTGGTTCTACGCTGCTTATCAGTGCCGCTCCATTTGTGCTGCTCTACATTATTCCGCTAGATAATAGCGAGGCGATGAAACCACGTCTAAAAGTTTTGCTGGCCTTTGCGTCCGGCGGTCTGTTAGGTGATGCTTTCCTACATTTGATACCACATGCAACCCACCCGCACAGCCATGGCGAGCACGAGCACGGCCACGATCATGATCATCATCATGATCATCACGAGGATGGCGAGGGACACGCTCATGTGCATGATATGAGTGTTGGCCTATGGGTATTGGGCGGCATTATTGCCTTTTTGTCTGTGGAGAAAATCGTGCGCATACTCAAGGGCGGAGCATCGGGTGGACATGGACACAGTCACGGCGCACCCAAACCCAAACCAGTAATCAAGGAGAAGGAGATTGCCGCAGGCGATAAGAAAAGGTCCTCAACGAAGCCAAGCAAAGCGGTGGCCAAGAAAGCTGATGATGATGAGAACGAAGTGGAAATATCAGGTTATTTAAATTTGGCTGCAGATTTTGCGCACAATTTCACCGATGGCTTGGCCATTGGAGCCTCCTATCTGGCTGGCAACAGCATTGGCATAGTTACCACAATAACCATACTGCTGCATGAGGTGCCGCACGAGATTGGCGACTTCGCCATACTCATCAAATCGGGCTGCTCCCGGCGCAAGGCCATGCTGCTGCAGCTGGTGACAGCGCTCGGCGCCTTAGCGGGCACAGCGTTGGCTCTGCTCGGTGCGGGCGGCAGTGATGGCAGCTCGGCACCCTGGGTGCTTCCCTTTACAGCGGGTGGTTTTATATACATAGCCACAGTTAGCGTGCTGCCGGAACTGTTGGAGGAATCGACGAAGCTCAAACAATCCCTTAAAGAAATTGTTGCGCTGCTAACGGGCGTGGCGCTAATGATTGTTATAGCCAAGTTTGAATAGTTTCAGCCGCAGAGGAGCCGAATAGTTTCGTAAATATGGCCCGTATGTACTTCCAAAATAAATTTGTGGGCATGTAAAATACAATATGAAAATAACTTGAAAACAAATCACATTAAAAATTAAACAAAATTAATTAATAGAAAATTGTTCGAAGGTTATTTAATAGCGGTGTTTTTGGCGCCTATATCATGCATTACTTTTGTTTTTTTTTTTTTTCTTTTTCAAAAAGTCAAACTGTAATGATACAAAATAAAATTTGATGTTCTAGCGAACTTGGCCATTTATGGTGGCTTTAATTTCATTAAGACAATACTCGGCCTGCTCAATAGCATCTGCATTTTTCTGACTCTTGCCCATTTTCCAGGCGAGCCGACAGAACTTTTCCGCTTCGGCTAGCAGGCCTTCGCGCAGGTAAACCAAACCCAGATTAGCCTGAAGGACGCCCTCCTGGGCGGCATCCTTTAGCTCCTTGGCTATGGCCAGTGCTTGTAATAGAGTTTCCTTGGCTTCGGTGTAATTTTCCAGCTAACAATGCAATTAATAATATTTAAAAGTTATTTTCAGAGCTAAATTAACATACGTTCACATAGGCCACGCTGATGTTATTCAAAATGGTCACCGAGGCATCGTTGAGGCTGCCATAGACCTCGACCAGTGTGGCTAGGGCCTCCTTGAACATGTTCTTGGCCTCCTCATATTTGCCCTGTTTCATAAGCAGCTGTCCAAACCTGCGGGTACGTTAAAGAATACAATATTAGTTTAAACATATTAAGCTGAATCTTTGCCTTTGGCTTTTAGGAAGCATGGAACAACCTTCAATACCAGTTCTTAGTCAAGCCATATAGCTCAAGTATGTCGCTATCCTGCGGCATTTCCTGCACCAGCTTAGCTAGGCGTTGCAGTGTCCATGTGAATCCCTGAAAGCTCTTTTCCAATTCGCCCTGCAGCTGCGACATGTGCGCTATTTTGGAGCTAATGTGCAGTATTTTGGGGCTGTCTTCCGTATGCCCCTCGGACATTAGGCGCCTCATCACATCCACAAATATGTTTTCGGCCTTTTTAAACTGTTCGCGTTCCATGGCCAAATTGGCCATCAGATCGTAGACATAGGTAATGCCGTGCGCTGATTTCATATCTTGGGCCATACGCAGCGCCAGATGCAGCATCTGTTCGGCCTTGTCGTATTGCTCGTTTTGTATGCATAATATAGAACGCTTTATGGTATCCACCAGCTTCGTTTCGGGCGTTTCTTCGGTATCACTGCCATCGCCGACGGTAAAAAAATTAAAACTAAACGCGGCCGTGAATATCAGCGCCGTGTGATTGGGATACGTTGAGCTGCTGCGTTCAGACTTCTGTCGCTGTTGGTGTCGGGTGTAAACACTACATAATGATCGGGATACTTGTGTCATCGGCTTGTAGCTGCTCCGCGCTTTGACTGTGTGATCATTTGTATTTGCACCAATGCCACGCATAAAACGCAACCGAGAAAAAACTTGTGTTATCCTACCAAAATTCTTCACCACCATTTTGTAGTGCAATGCATTCTATAATTAACTTAAAATTTATACGGTAAATCCGTTTACTGGTCGTTCGGACCAATTACGAAATATGAGTCAAAACAGTGTTGTAAAGAGCGGTCCGTGACTGGTTAATTAGTGTCGCCTAACGCATTTGATAAATATTAATGTCTAAAATTATTAAAAATACATCTTAAAATTGCACATTAATTTTACGTGTTTTTGTTTTTCAATTTATAATGGTGGTGTTCCTTAAACTGAGAACTCTTAAAATGAAATTGACAGCTACTGCTGTCAACTAATAAATTAGTTATTGTTGTCGTTTACGTAAGAACAGCATAAATGAACCTATTATATTCAAATTAAGAATGCCACAACATCAACAATTTGCATAAATTCATTATTAAAATGAATCCTTTTACGTTGTAACGGTTGTATCCTTTTTATTCATGTATTTTTTAACCTATCATATTCTCAAACGTCTGAAAACTATCGATTGCTAGAACCTGCGATAGTTGAAAAGTATTGACTGCAACTAAAAAGCAACCCTACCTATTGATGGCGGATTGACGCTTTTCGCTGGCAACAAAAAATTTTCTTGTGCGAGTAATCAAAACGTTGCACGCCGCAAATTAAGGAAAGAATTGTGCGTGCGATTAAATCGCGTACTGCCCACGTTTAAAATCAAGTGCAATAGCATTTTATTTCAGTGTTTTATTTACCAGTGGCATAAGTGTGCGGCAAGAACAGTTTTTTTTTAGTTACAGCTATGAGACGTCGTAGCGAGCGAAAAAAATCTACATCGCCAGCACCTTTGCCGGCACGTCGCAGTCGCCGATCGCGCAAAGTATCGGAAAATGAGAAAACCGAGGATGAGACGGTTGTAGAGAAAACAGAAGAAACAAAAGCGCCACCAACAATTGAAGAAATCAATGAGGAACGTGGGGAGCGCGCCTCAAGCGAAGAACATGCCGCATCGCCAGTGCGCAAAAGCCGCAATACACGCACGACACCGAAAAAGCGCCAAAGCGCTAGCAGTCAGCGCGAGAAGAGCAGCGAGCGCAAGGTGGAAACCATACCCGAGGAAGTAGAAAATGGGTCGGATGCGGTGCTGGCGAAGGCAAGCAGCAACAAGAACATCGATATCGATAACAAGGTATCGGCAGAAAAGGAAACGGCCAACAAACCCGATGAGCCGCAGTCCGAAACGGAACAGCATAAGGGATCAGAGACAGTAACCGATACAGACACAGACACAGCGGATGCCTTGATAAAGCCGAAAGAGGTGGAAGACGCAGAGAAGACGCCGGAGAAGAGCGTGGAGCAACACAACGATGATGCCTCTAAGGAAGGGGTGGAACCGGAAAAGGATAGCACCAATGAGGAGCCTGCCGTGGAAGAGGTAAAAGTTGCTTCTTCTTTAAGCTTAACAGCAAGTAAGGATGAAGTGCATCTAAAAACCACAAGCGATGTATTAGACATTCAAACAGAGGACATGGAAGAGCGGAACAACGAGAGATCGGACCAAACGGATGAGCCCGAATCAGACGACACCAAGCTGACACTCAAAATCGATGAGCAGAAGGAGAACCACAAGGAAAAAGTAGAGCAATCAACAGAGAAACAAACGAACAAGGAGCACCCAAACAGCGATAAACAGGAAACTGTGACACAAACACAGCGCTCGGTGCGCAAACGCAAGTGGCTAAGCAAGAAAGTGGCCGAACGTGCACCACCCGTGCTGGCCATATCAACGGATTCACTAAAGAACATCATTGCCGATGTGGTGAATCCTGTGCCGCTCAGCGATGTACAACTGGAATCATCATCGGAAGAGGAAGGTCTAGTGACCAGCGATCATGAAACGGACGAGCGGTCGTTAACTCCCGAACTGCGTGTCACAAAGGATAGGGATGAGGGTAACGCAACAGATGAGGAGCAACATCAACATCAACAGCAACAGAAATCGCAATCAAAATCAAATCATGAGAAAGAGACGCCAACGGTACCAGCTACAAGTAAGACAGCTATCGAGCCCGCCGCTTCCAAAGCAATTGCTGTTGCCCGCTCACCAAGTCCAGCGCGCAATCGTGCCAGCCATGTGCTTTTCATTACCAATCTGGTGCGTCCGTTTACTGTGCTGCAGCTCAAGGGGCTGCTGGCGCGTACGGGCAAGATCATTGAAGAGGATGGCTTCTGGATTGACCGCATCAAGTCCAAATGCTATGTTGCATATGCCACGGAGGAGTACGTACTTTGGTTTCACTTTCATCTCAACTCGCACAATACTAATGTGTTATTTATCTTTTAATGTTTACAGCGAAGCTATTGAAACACGTCATGCCCTGCATGGCGTACGTTGGCCGGTCTCGAATCCCAAGTGCTTGAATGTTGACTTTGGCAGCCGAACAGACATGGATCGTGCTATACAATCGACCAAAAATGAGGCACCCAAATATCCGCAGGACAATACCAGGGATAATCAGCACTCGGGCAACACTTGGTCGCGTTTGGATGCAAGCGAGAAAAAGGTATAGAATCAAAATTAGTTTCCAACTTTTGGCTTAACACCTACTAAATCGAAATTCTCTTTCACAACAGCCGGCACGTCCGGTGCGCGAATGGGATGTGGGCAAAAAGGAGCCCAATGAGCGCGACAAATTAAGCAACGACAGACGCCGCAGCAGCAAGGAACGTATCGACTCCAGATTGCGCGATTCAGATCGCGGCAAAGGCGGCGATGATGCCGAGCGCGCTGTGCAGGATCGTAAACGTTCAAGAGAACGCGAGCGTGGAGGACGTGAACGAGAGCGCGATCGCAGCGAACAACGTGTGCATGGTCGCAGCAGGAGCGGCTCACCAGGTTAGAAATATGCTGCTTTATAAAAATAAAATGTATAATAATGTGCATCAAACGCAGCGTTAAAAGTCAGAAAGAAGGAAAATGAACCACCCATCAGGCTACTAGATGATCTTTTTCGCAAAACTAAGGGTACGCCGTGCATTTATTGGCTGCCCCTGACACCCGAAGCAGTAAGTAAATGTGCATGCAATGCATTTTATCCCTGATGGCTAATGACTTTTGATTTGATTGTCCTAAAAGATTGCGGAAAAGGAGGCGTTCCGTCAGAAACGCATCGAGGAACACAAACAGCGTATCAAGGAGCGTGAGGAGCGCCTTAAGGAGCGTGAACGTGAAAAGGAGCGCGATCGTCCGCGGGATAATCGTCGGAATCGCTCCAACGAACGTCGACGTTCGCGCAGTCGCGATCGGGAGCGACGGCGTTACTAGACAGTAACTAAATGAACTACCGAAATAAAACAAAAACAAATGAAGTCAAAACGATGACAAAACATTTTAAAACAACAACAACACAAGGAAGAACAAAAATAGCAAGCAAATACAGCAGCAATTCATTTCAGGGGTTTTTCTCATCAAAGCCCAACATTTTTTATTTTGCCATTTGTTCTGAGTTAAAATATTCAACTTGAAGTCAGTGTACTTCAATTTGAATATTTTTCCCCTAATGACTCGACAAAGCAACCTAACAATGAGATTTCAATTTCTTTTTTTTTTCCTCCCCCTTCTCTATTTGCTGTTCTATATACCCATATATATATATATATATACATACATAACTTGATTTGATTTCTTTCCCAAATGTAGCTTTTTACAGCGCAACAACTACAACTTCAACTCCCCAACATCAGAACAGCAGGCGTCAGTCAATAGTACGGCAATCGCTACCCATTGGATTTGTCTCTGTCCGGAGTCCTAAAACTCTAGCCGCAAGTGTTTAATTTCGCCTATTCATACATAACTACATAAATATATATTTAAACAACAAATGCAAATTAATTAATTGAATTATTGTAACTAATTGAAATTTTTAAAGAACTTAAATATAACTAAATTACAGAAGGCAAGCTTGTGACCATGCCAAAAATTTAACTTCTCTCTTTATTCTGGCATACGGTAGGATTCTGAAAATTATATATCAATGCTTTATACATATATATACATATATAGATTTACCATTTTGTAATAGTTATCTTAAGAATTGTTGTAGGGAAGGTTTTATAAACATTGCTAGCTACTTCTTGTATTACTTTTAAAGAAATTCTAAATTAAGAAATAAGAAAAATGCGAAAGGGTTTACCAAATAATTGAAAAGTGTAAGTTAATCAATTCAAAATTCGCTCCTAAAGTACTCACTTCACACAGACAAACAAGTATCGATTTCTTTGCGATACCTTGAACAGCTGTATTTCGATATCATTAAGTCGGTCATAGTAATACTTGTGTTCCAATCGGTATCGAATTAATTCATTAAAATTTTACTTTAGAAAAGAAAAAATGTGGTCTGACACGTTTTTAATTGTATTTATATCAATATGCACCGCATTTTTGGGAGAGGGTATGTATTTAATAGAAAGCTAGATATTGACGCTATGAAACAAAGTGAACAATGTACACGTATTCATTTATAGGACTTACATGGCTGCTCGTCTACCGCACCGAAAAATATCAGAGGCTGAAGACAGAGGTGGATAAACAGAGCAAAAAGTGTAAGTAGCTTAAAAGTTATGTTTTCATCAACTATGCTGGCTAATTTGAAGTCACGCGACAACCATTTAGTGGAGCGACGCAAGGAAACACATGGAGATTCTTTGGACAAATCGGTGAAAAAGAAAATCGAGCGGTATGAGGAGAAACTGAAGAACAACAATCGTGACCTGTCGCTGGTCAAAATGAAATCCATGTTTGCCACGGGATTCGCATTTACCGCTCTGTTGAGCATGTTCAATAGTATATTTGATGGACGCGTTGTGGCACAATTGCCTTTTACGCCCATCTCCTGGATACAGGGTCTGAGCCATCGGAATCTGTCCGGCGATGATTATACCGACTGTTCGTTCATCTTCCTTTATATACTCTGCACCATGTCGATACGCCAGAACATACAGAAGCTCTTGGGCTTTGCGCCATCGCGTGCGGCTAGCAAACAGGGCGGCGGACTGTTTGGCCCAGCACCAGGTCAATTCAAATAATAGGACTTTGCGTTGGTTTTTTTTTTTTTGTAGCGAAATTTTCATTGGTTTCACAGTAATAAATTACAATTTAATTTAAAGCATTAAACTCATACATAGGCTTATCTACAATCAAGCGATCGAAACTCAAACGGGACAAATCCAACGTGCGAAACTGCCCGTCCATAATAAGCTCGGAGATGGCACGACCCAACGCCGGCGTTTGCTGTATACCCTGCCCACTGAAGCCGCTGGCAATATACAGATTATGATAATACGGATGCGCGCCCAAAATGCCATTCTCATCGTACACGTTGTAGTCGTAGAGGCCGGCCGAACTATTTACCACTTCAGCGGAAGCAAAAGCCGGCACACGTTCGATGAGGCCAGGTCTAATCTTCGTATCAAAATATGTTGGATATATGTCTAAATTATCGCTGCTAACTTCCTCGCCAGGGAGTGCATTGTGCCCGCACACATAGTGTCCACTCAAGCCCAGTCGGCGTATAAATGTGCCCGCTGTGTCCACGATCATGGGCATTGCCATGCCGGGCGCATTTTGCTCCTGCGTGCTTATCTTGTACATATAACGCTTGCGCGCATCTATGGGCAGCGGCACACGCAGTATGCCCGCCTCCCGGCCAATATGCGCTAGCCGTGCTACTTTGCTACTGTTGATGCCCGCCGCGATAACGCACAGAGCGAACTTAATGGTGCTCTTCGAGCCGTCCGCAAGTTGTACGACCGCCTTGTCCAAACTCTGATAGCTGCCTTCGTTGGAGCCCGTGACAATAATATCGTCTTGCCTTTTGAACACAAAATCGATGACTTCGCCATGCACAAAATGCCCGCCATAGCCATGGGCAGCACGTTTATAATTTGATAACAGCGCCCAGGGATCAAACCAACCTTCGCGCTCCAGTCCAACGCAGCCAAGTGCAATGCCCTCGGTATTCAGCCAAGGAAATCTAGAGGCCAAACGTTCCGCAGTCAGCAGCTCATTGCGTGCGCCCAGCTCATTCTGTAGCTGAGATGTTTCCTTAAGCATCTGCGCATCCGCTTCGTTAGCAAGCACCAGCTGGCCATGTGGCGTATAGTTGAGGGGTATATCGGTGCCAAAGTGTTCCGCTGCATCGCGCAGAAACTCGGCACCAAACAGCGACATTTGTATGTTCTCCGGCAGCGAAAAGTGATGGGAGAGGCCATTGATGGACACATGTGTTGCGCACCGCTTATGCTGGAATTACATAAAAGCTGAATACACTTGGCTGGCACTTCAATGGCATACAGACACGAACCTTCTCATCTTTTTCCACTACAACCACGTTGAGGCCATCGCGCGCCTTCTGCTTGAGCCAATAGGCTATGGAGCTGCCGATGCCGCCGCCTCCGATAATTAGCACATCACAGTGTGTTTGGAACTCGTCTACATTTCCCTTGTCGCCGCCAAAATTGAATTTTTTGCTTGTGGCAATGGGCTGTGGCTTATCCTCGTCCTCGTAGCTGTCTTCCTTGGGCACAAAGAATTCCTTAATCTTACGCATATCATTGCCAAGCAAACGGAATGTGCGCCTTATAGGATGTTTATCGTTTGGATCATTGCCGTCGGGCGTTTTCGGCCCGGCTGAGTAGGCACGTTGTAGTGGCGCTTGAAGTTGGCGCATAACATGTCGGAAACGTAGCATATTAATATAAATTTCTGTTCACTGAATGATAATTGAGTTTGGTTAATTTTAATTCATAAATTGTATTTATTGTTATGCTATCTCATAACGTTCAGTGGAAAAAACAGCTGTTGAGTGGTTCTGATTGGAGTTACTCGTTTCACTGTTAACTTAACAGTTGGCAAAAATGTTACTAACAGCGCTCACAGCTAATTGCCGCTAGGAAAAATTAATGTGCCAAACATTTTATTAAGATGAGTATATTTTATTCAAAAGAGAACTTAAATTATAATTACTCATCTAAGTATTTTAGTTTGAAATCTACATTTTCAAATCAACTCAAATATATGGCAGCCGTGGCTGATTTTGCACAGCGATATATCGATAGCTGTGACTTTAACATAGCGTCAGAGTAACATGTAATGCGTATATCACAACTATCGGTCATCTCTAGAGCCTGGCATTACTTGGCAATTTTGTATGTCGAATTCGGAAGAAAATTAATATTAAAAAATACAAACAGTAATTATACGCAAATCGCAAGACTCTTATAAAATGACAAACGCTGCTGCCGATGCTGTTACCCAAGACGTTGAAATGGAGGTTGACGCAACACCCGAAACACTAGCTGACGAAAAGAAAAATCAAGATCTCGCTGCTGTGCAGGAAATACGCGAACAAATCCGTCAGATAGAAAAGTCCGTGGCTTCTAAGGAATCGCGGTAAGTGGCCAAATTGAGACATTTTTAAGCTTGCAGCAAGCAAATATATAAAATAAAACCAAATTTAGTTTTATTCTTCGTGTGCTCCGCAATTTGCCTAACACACGACGTAAACTAAACGCCGTCGTCTTCCGGAACCTGGCACAGAGTATCTATCCGGTTGGCGCCGATCGTGAGTCAGCGTTGTCTCTGACTCCAGCACTGGAAAAAGATGCCACGGAATTGCCCGATGTGGCCAAAAAGCAGGTGGCCACAAAAGCACCCATTGCCGAGGTGGATGCGTATTTCTATCTGCTGTTGCTGGTCAAATTGATAGATGCAAGCGATTTGAAACGCGCTGGCGTTTGCTCGGAGGCTCTCATGTCCAAAATCTCGATACAAAATCGTCGGACATTGGATCTGATTGGCGCCAAGTCATATTTTTATCATTCACGCGTCGCGGAGCTTAACAATGCTCTGGAGGGCATACGCGCCTTTTTGCATGCCCGCCTGCGAACCGCAACGCTGCGCAATGATTTCGAGGGACAGGCGGTGCTTCTGAATTGTCTGCTGCGTAACTATTTGCATTATGCGCTGTATGACCAGGCCGATAAGCTGGTCAAGAAGTCTGTATACCCGGAGTCGGCCAGCAACAATGAATGGGCGCGTTTCCTTTATTACTTGGGTCGCATCAAGGCCGCCAAGTTGGAGTACAGCGATGCACACAAGCATCTGGTGCAGGCTCTGCGTAAATCTCCGCAGCATGCCGCGATTGGATTCCGTCAGACCGTTCAGAAGTTGATTATAGTTGTGGAGCTGTTGCTGGGCAACATACCGGAACGTGTGGTATTCCGCCAGGCGGGCTTGCGCCAATCTCTGGGTCCGTATTTCCAGCTCACACAGGCTGTGCGGCTGGGTAATCTGAAGCGTTTCGGTGATGTTGTGTCACAGTTTGGACCCAAATTCCAGATGGATCACACATTTACGTTAATCATACGACTGCGCCACAATGTCATCAAGACGGCCATTCGCTCCATTGGACTGTCCTATTCGCGCATCTCACCCAAGGATATAGCCAAGCGTTTGATGCTTGACTCGGCCGAGGATGCTGAATTTATTGTGTCCAAGGCCATACGTGATGGTGTCATTGAAGCCACCTTGGATCCCGCCCAGAATTATATGCGCAGCAAGGAGAGCACCGATATCTATAGCACACGCGAACCTCAATTGGCTTTCCATGAGCGCATCTCCTTTTGCTTGAACCTACACAATCAGAGCGTTAAGGCCATGCGTTATCCGCCCAAATCATACGGCAAGGACTTGGAGAGCGCCGAGGAACGACGCGAACGCGAACAGCAGGATTTGGAGTTGGCCAAGGAGATGGCCGAAGATGATGAAGATGGTTTCTAAGCGCATGCTATGCACTCAAACATATACTAATATTTCATAGATGTGTGTACCAATAAACATAATAAAATTAATTTTCAAAATTTTTAAACTTGGACGACACAATTGTTATTAAAAAAAATAGTATAGAATATATATCGGTATTTTCCCGCAAACGTATTTAACTCATATGGTTTTCCAAAAATTTGGATAAGGCGAGTTAAAGTGCTGTAAAGTATGCGTTGAGAGTGTTGTTAAACGTCGAAACGAAAACGAAAATTTGTGTTTAATCAATATATAACTTTAATAGAACATTATTTTCGTTCGAATACATGGCATAATATACAGCGCATACATAATTAACTAATTTCACTATGAGCTAGCTTTTAGATTTTAAAATAAGGACATAAATGTGGATCAAAACTATTCATAATTGTGTGTGGCGGCCATGCCCTATCGATAGTTACGCATGCTGCAAAGAGAAAAACCTATCGAGCATTTGCAAATAATCGATACATCTTTGCAATATCAACAACCCTATCTAGTTGCATTATTCTTGGAGCAGAAAGCAGAAAATTTTGTGAAAACACACCACGCAGCGAAAAATGTAAAGTGCGCAAATGGTAAAAAATAACAAAAAACAAAGTATGAGCTTGCAAATTGTGTTCAGATAGATAAAAAACAGTGCATGTGCGCGTTTATAGTAGAAAAACTACATGCAAGTAACCAGCAGCCACAGCATTCTGTGGCAGCGACGAGTCGTCCAGTAGCAGCGAGTAAATTGTGGAGTCTCTCTGGCCACATTGATGCAGCAGCGCCCGCAAATGTATGCGACAAACTAGTAGTGGGCAGCAGTAGCAGCAACAGCAGCAGCAGTCGCAGTCGCAGTCGTTGTCGTCTTTGTGAAGCGTCAAGCGCAAAAAAAAAAGAAAAGGAAAAAGTAAACGCCAAAACAAGAGAGTGAAAAACGTGCGTAAAAGTTAATTAGCTGCCGCCAAGCAACGAGCAAAAGCAGAAGCGAGTGGAGGAGCAACAGCAGCAGCTGCTGCTCTATACAAATCGACAATCGACATTGTTGTTGTTGTGTTTATTATTGTTGTTGCTGTTCTTGTGGTTTTTGCACCCACCACACGTAACTAGAGCAGCAGCCACTATACACACACACACACATACACACACACACAGGCACACAAATACACATACTCACACATACACACACACACACACACCCCTACATATAAACACTCCAGGCTAGACTTCGTAGTAGATGCGTGCGTGCCACAACAAAATTGGAAATGATTTGTCCAAAAGACGTCCTACAGTGGTTTAAGACTCTGGAGAGCTATAATCGCATCGATACCATGTGTTCACTGTTCGAGGCATGCCTGCCGTTTGAGTTGCGCTTTCTGGGCACTTGTCTGGAGGAGCTCGGTCGGCGTGATTCACCTGAATTGCGGGGCATGGAGTTGCGCGCCAATAATCCGCAGGATTTGGCTGCCGACATGTATAATTGCCAGAAGGGCGAGCCAACAGATAAGAAGATTCGCCGCAAGATGGCGCTCTATTTGGCGCTTATACGTGCCTGCAATCGGAATTGTGTGAGCGAAATCTTTCGCACTCTCGAATGCTGGGGGGAACGCGATTTTGCCAGCATTAACGATCAGGATACGTTCCTGGAGCTGCTACTCGTCTATACAATGGCTGCAAAACATCCGGTCTTCTCCTATCATCAGAACACCAAATGCGGCGAAATACTGGCCAAGATTAAGGAAATCAAGCGTATGGCGGATGAATCAACGCAAATCATAAACCAACAGCAGCAGCAACAGCAGCAACAGCAACAACAGCAACAACAGCAACAACAGCCACAACAGTCACAGGCGGCGCATCCACAGCACTTGCTTCAGCAGCAGCAGCAGCAGCCACCGCCGCCGCCTTTTCATCATCCCATGGTGCAAATGATGCAATCGCAGCCGGTAAACCCGCCCATACTGTTCCCACAGCCTTGGACCAAGGTAAGCAAACACTTTCATGTTTTCTATAGCTTTAGCCATTTGTAATACAGTAAAAGCTCTACCAACGGACGGATTCTCGAACATGACATCTATTTCATAAAAAATATAGTTATATATTTGTGTTCATTATTAACAGGCGAATCGATATAGTCATGTCCGCCTATCTGCAAGTTAGTCTCTTAGTTTTTTTTAGTTTAATTTTGTATGTACCGTCTTTATGCATTGGACTGTATGTATGTCTGAGTTGGCCGGATCGGATCGAATATACATCATATTTTCATGGAACCGATCGTTCGAATATCAAGTTTAATAATATTGACCACTTTATTGTTTTTCAAACAATACCAAACTTTCAATATTTTGTATACAATGCTATTTATATTATATTATTATAATACATACTATGTTATATAGTTCACACAGGTCAAAAGTAGAAACAATTACGATAATCTACAGTTATAAGTGGAAACACAATTATTCGCCCAAAAAAGAGCTTTCACTGTTCTCCAAATGATCTGATTAGCTGACTATTCCCTATCTTTTCCATTTGCAGCTAATGTCCGGCGCAGACGTGGACGGCATGCAGCATTTGATGCAATCCAATATCACCATTCCAGACACAAATGCCATTGCGGCAGCCAACGCTTGGTGTATGCGCAACATGTATGCAGTGCCACCGCCGCCACAGCCACAAAGCTTGGATCATCAGGTGCCGCCGCAAGCCAGCTCGCCCATGCTAAGCAGCCAGCAGTCATCGCCGTCAAGCAGTCGCACCACCAGTCCTCAGCGTGAACGCGGCAGTAGTGCTCCACTGCAGCAGCAACAACAACAACAACAACAGCAGCAACAGCTGCGCAGCTTGCCACAACGTTTGGCGGCCGGCATCAAGCATACGCGTCGCCCCTCTGTGGAGACAACGCCACCGCCAACGTCAACGTCCGTTGGCAGCGTAGACGCCAATTTGACGTCGCAGCACGTCAAGCATTTCGACGAGGTGAGTCCTAGAATCAAGGCTTTTAAGCATGGATCGTTTGTGATTTAAAGATGACATAATTTGTCTATACAGCCTGGTCAATATCCGTGTCCGTAATAACTAGAGTTTTTAAAATTAGGTTCTTCCATGTCAAATTAAAATAATAAGTTCTCTAACGGCTTGGGCTTTGCGTTAATCAACTGCCAGTCTTTCTATATATATATATAAATGTATATAATTATATGATTTCATATTAACTTTTGCAGGGCATCAGTGAAGGCGGCGGCAACAGCCTGTCCAGTATTATACGCAACGCAAGTTATCCACGTGTGGCACATCAGCGTATCAATGCGAATGCGTATATGCCCTCACACCAGCAGCAGCAACAGTCGCCGGTAAGTCAAGATGCACAGCAGCAGCAGCAGCAGGCGCATTATCAGATGAACAGCTATATCAAACCGAGCACACTTGCCCAGACGATGCATAATATGCATATAAATGATGATGGCAGCGGTTCGACGCGTATGAATTCTAGTAAAAGTGCAGCCACGACCAGCAGCGAGTCCGGCTGCTCGAATGGTTCGTGCGGCGAGACAACGCCACCGGAAACGCCCACGCCCACGCTGACCAACCATACAGTGGGCATCAGTTATCAGCAGCAGCAGCAACAGCAACAGCAAAAGCATCATCTTAGCAACAAGCAGCAGCAGCAGCAGCTCAGCCTGCAGCAGCGCCTGAATGGGCGCAACGGTGTGGAAAAGAGCTATCAGCAAATCTATGCGACGAGCAATCCCAGCGAGGCTCCGACATTGCAGCAGCAGCAGGCGCTGCTCATAAGTCCGTCTGCAGTTAATGCGCCGACAACAACAGTGCTGCTGCAGCCACAACAGCAGCAGCAGCAGCAACAACAACAGCAACAACCGCAGCAACCACCGCCAACAGCCGCAGCGTACAATACAGCCACATATTCATATCATACGGCAAGCGGACGTGGACCGCCACCGACGTTGATAAAGGCGCATCATGCGCCGCCGCCGCATACGCTGCACAGTTCCTTTCGGTTTTCGTTGCCACCGCCGCATAACAGTGAGCTAATATATCCGGCATATCATGCCGGCCTGGCGTACCCGCCTGTGCCCGTTACAGCGACGCCAGCGGGCGCGCCCCCTTCCGTTGTAACGGCGGCACAATTGGGCCGCAATTCGGCGGCGGTCATCAGCACGAATGCGGTCACAGTGCAAACGCAAACGCCCGCCCCTCAGCAGCAACAGTTGCTGGCCGCAACGGTTGCCGCATCGCCATACAGCACGCTCACTGTTTGTCCCATAACCGGAGCGAGCAGCGGTGTCGCCCAGAAGATCATCTCCTGCTATAATTGCGGCTCACAGACGCACAGCGGCCGGGACTGCCAGGAGGCCTCCATGGAGGATGTGACGCGCAGTGCCAACTACAAGCTGGACTATAGTACATCCAACAATCCAGGCAGCATGGATGGCCCCAATCTAACGGAACACAAGGATGTTGGCAATATGCTTAAGAATGTGCCAGCGACGACGCCAACGGCAACAGCAGCGGCATTGACCAGCATGGGCAAATAAGCCATGTATATTAAAAACACAGACACCCCCTCCCCACACACACACACCTACACTCACACACATATATATATATATATATAATTAATACATATATATATAATTAATACTTATTGTAATTCTTAACTACTTACACAATTGAACATTTATAGCGTTTGTAAAAGTGCGGAAATCAAATTTCACGCCTTTAGCCACGTCTCTTAGTTTAAGACATTTTTGCAAATTGCGTTAGCCAGAACAAGTCGCCTATAACTAAAAAAAAAAAAACAAAAAGATGAAAATAACAAAAAAAAATTACAAAACAATTAACAACCTTGCAGATCACAGGGAAATTATGCAGACAGTAAATGTAGTTATATATATATATATATATATATATATATATATATATATATATTTTATATATATATAAAATACTATATCTATGTATAATTCGCGCCCTTATACGAATATTTCTTATATTTTAGTTATACGCATAAAAAAAGAAGAAGAAGCAAAAACAGTTTACATTACGAAAAGCGATCAAACGCTAGTTAAAGCAGCTGTTAAATGAAGCAATAGATATAACAAGAATAGATTTCAATTGACATTTGTAAGCTAGCAGCAGGACTTCACGCAATTCATGATTGTGACGTAACAAATATCTATGTGTAATTGCGTGCATAATGTATGGAAAAAAAAATTATAGTTTTAAGCGCAAAACGGATATAAGAAGAAATACAAGAAAACATAAGCAAAAAGCAAGTAAAACAACAATTTTAGCATTACAATAAAATGTTAGCAAATACCCGACAAATGTGTATAAACAAAAAGAGCGTAGTGTAGCACACACATATATACACACACACAAACACACTCACACCACACTCGCACACGCACTTAACTCTAAATTGAGAGTGGGAGCGCGGGCGCGAGAGAGAGAGAGAGAATGTGCTTAGTTAACGTTAACTATTAATCTAATTATAACTACAATTTTTCATACTAGTAATTATTTATTTTTGCTGCTTCTTTGTTTAAACAGATTTTAGAATTGGTTTTTACATTGTATTATATAGATTATGATATATATACATATATATGTGCATATGTGTATGCATATACATATATACCTACACACAATACATATAATAGAATATGGCGTATATTATGTATAAAACGCGTTACTTTTTTTTTTTTTTATATAAATATAACCTCGTACTTGACCATAGGTAATGCAAAAATAATACGTATAAATATATATGTATATATAGAGTTGGTTTATGGCCAAGTTGAGATTTATGTAATGGCTTAGATCACGCCCACAGTTAGAACCTAAATGCCTGCGTTTTTTTTTTGTTTTGGTTACGTTATGTAAAAACGTTGTTACCTTTTTTATGGAGCAAAAACCTACAAAAAAAACGAAATTAAGAAGAAAAACAAAAACAAATCAACCAGCAAAAAAAAAAAACACAAAAAACAATATTGAAATGAAATGAAATACATTATTAAAAGAGTTTCTGCTAATGCGTAAGTGCATGACAAACGATTATTATATTTCAGTGAAAAAATAAAAAACAAATTGTTTCTTAAATTCGTGTAAAAAAAAACACAAAGCTAAAAGACAAATGCATTTTTTTTACTATCATTCATTCTCACTTAACTATATCATGCCTTGAAAAATTGTAGATATACGATGTCTAAAAGCCATTCTCCATTCATTGTTAAAAAGCTGTGTCAAATTAAAGTTGTAATATACAACAACCTTTATGTATATAAGTACTATACCTATGTATATGTGTAGCTATTTCGAGACAACCAGTGCATGGTGAGTATGGATGGATCTTGAGAGCTCTCGCGCTCCCCAATACCTTGATGGGCTAAGCTAAACTCCATTTAGAGTGCACGTTCGATATGCAGACTTGTCGAATGGCTTTGCTCTGGCATGGCGTACATTCATTTTTGTGAGCAACCCCTTTTAAGTACAGTAAATACTGACTAAGTGTAACAGTTAAGTTGTATGTTAACTTCAAGGCAGTTTAATTTAAAGACTTTGTTTTTATTAATCAGGATCTTATTTTATTACTGTCTAATAAACAATTTCGTGTTTGCAGATATCAAATACTTTCTGCAAATACATGTTTTATTGGACTATATTTATATGTATGCATACATCTATTTTTTTCCATTATTAATTTATTTAATAAAAACTAAGTTAGGTTTTAAACAAAGTGTTAATGAATGAATTAACATTCAATTTGGGATTTTAAAATCGACATAAGATTTTTGCAATATATGTAAAATCATTTGCTGTTTAGAAAAGTCTGCAGAAATCACAAAATTTGTACTCACTTTTTATTATTAATAATTTTATTAGATTATTTTGTTATCATAAGTTCTTGGCTTGGATCAGAAAATGTAGACTACGACCATATAGGATATATAAATATCTGGTAAGCTAGTTTTAATTTTTTGAATATAGTAAAACTTATGTTCGATATAAGGAGAGTGCACTGTATTTCGGAAACAAGACATAATTGTTGCGCCAGAGCTCTCGTATGGCACACACAATCCAAAAGCTGCTTAGACACATCGTCGTATTGCAACGAACCCATGAAACACATATGAGGACGGGGGAGAGTTGGAACGGCAACCGTGGCGTTCTCTCAAGCGTTACAGTTTTGGCTTGTCGTAACGGCAAGTAGTCTTCAGTTGTGCATAGACCTGGATCCGGTGTAGATTGTCTTGTCAAGAGGAAGATCTTGAGATAAACATTGTTTTAAATACTTGGATAAAAGGTTAAAAACTATTTCAAAATCGTATTATATAAATGCAATTAAGATATTTCGAATGTGTGCTCGCCGAGTGAAAATTTAGTTCTGGAGCATATTTTTACACAATTTGTATAATCATATCCAATTTTGCTGGTGCTTTAGCTCAGTTTTGGCCGTTTTAGCTCGGCGTGCTTGTTCATGCATGCAGTGTGGTAAGTTGTTACCATTCGGACCTCACCTCCGCCCGGAAAAACGAAAACGTAGACAAACAATGCTTAAGGCCGTAAAGAAAACGACCGAGGTAAACAAATCGAAATTAAAAGTTACGGCCAGTAATGCCAGCGAGAACAACAACAACAATAATAATAAAGACAACGACAGTGACACCTCTGAACTGGCCATAAAACGAGGCTCCATCTCTGGCCAAAAGCCAGAAGGCAGTCCAAATGACAGTCCCCCCCTGAAGAAACTCAGCCTGAAGGGCAACCAACTTTGCGGCAGCATTTTAATAGGCAACTACAACGTAAGCAAATATCATACCATATATACAGATGATTCATTTGTTAATTAACTCCGATTTTACAGTACCTAACCCAATTGGAGGTGTGCGAGAACGAAATGGAAGTCTTGGATCTGAGCACCTTGGCACAATTGGAAACATTGAAATGCAGTCGAAACAAGCTAATTGAGCTAATTATAAATGGCACCAATTTGCAGACACTTATAGCGGATCATAACTGTATGTATCGGAGGTTCTGGTTGGTTTAATGCAACTGGAGTTGAAAATGTTGAAGAATTTTCAAATTAATTAGCAGTTTTCTTGGTTAATGTTAAAACAATGCAGTTATTTAGTTACACTATGCAAAAACTCCAACTGCATTAGGCCCCATAGTTTTTGTGTATATTTTATTAATTAATTGTTTGTTTATTCGACTTAAAAGGTCTGCAGAGCATCTCCATATCGAAGTCGGTGCCATTGAAGCTGCTGCATCTGGACATCTCGTACAATTACCTGAGCACTTTGCCCCAGTGGATTGGTGGCTGTGTGGCTTTGGACACACTCATCGCAACGCACAATCACTTGAGCCACATTAGGGAACTATTAAGAAATTATCGCATCAGCTGCCTGCGTACGCTGAACCTTTCGTACAATTCTCTGCAGCAGCTCGACTATTTGCCGGATGCTTTTTGCAGCGTGAAGCAGTTGCAGCTACAGAGCAACGAGCTGCAGCGGCTGCCGGACAATTTTTTTGCCGTAACCCATGCGCAGCTTAGCCAACTGAATGCCTCCTGCAATAGGCTAGGCCAATTGCCGCGCTACGAGCAGAACAATAATGCGGCGCTGGAAGAGCTCAGCCTGACGGCGAATCAGCTGAACGATAACATATTCGAGCCACTGTTGCATGCGAGCCGGCTGAAAGTGCTGCGCCTGGCTCACAATCGCCTGGGCGTGCTGCCCGCGGAGTGTGTGCGCAACTGGCCGGAGCTGGAGGTATTGGTGCTATCTGGCAATATGCTGCAACAGCTGCCGGATCAGGTAGCCAGTCTGAGTCAGCTTCGGGTGCTGCGCTGCTGCAACAATCTGCTGCTCAGCACGCCGCAGCTGGCCAAGCTGAGCAGGCTAAAGATACTGGACTTGGCGCATAATCATTTGGATCGCATTAATCTGCTGTCGCTGGTGCCTGCGCGCAATCTCAAGTACTTGGATCTGTCTGGCAATTTGCAGCTGCAGGTGGATGAGCAGCAGCTTAAGGTCTGCAAGACGCAAAGCCAGCGCGTCTGGAGCTTAGTCGATGTCTCCGGCAACAATCGCGCCGAATTGCCCACCAGCACGCGACGCCTGCCGTCAGAGTTTAACAAATCTGTGCACAAAGCCAAGACGCTGCCCTGGACCCTGGGCTTTGCCGAGACACCTGGTGAACTGCGCAAGCTGCTTGTTAGTCAGCTGCGTGCGAGTCAGTTTAATGGATGCGCAGATGAAGCGCTCTTGGGCATGTTTGAGTCGCAGAGCGATGCTCGCCAGGCACAGCAAATGGCTCAACTGGTGCCCGGCCTGTTGAGGCAGGAGCAAACGCTGAAGGAGTCGCCGCTGAATGACTACTTGAAGTACACGCTGCTCTCGGCGCAGCGGCAATGCGGCGTTTGCCTGCGCAGCGCCACGCTCATGCACCTGCTCCGCCAACCCTCCAAGGTGCGCGCCCTCAAGTCCAAGCGTTATGTACTGCGACTAGCCCATCTCGGCCACTTCGACGCGTATCTAGTGCGACGCACCACCCACCTGCGATTGACCGAGTCTGTAGCACACTGCGATGGCCATAAACGTCTCACAGCTACACATACACTGCCCGATCCTGAACTGCTGGAGGTGAGTACCAAAAAGTTCCTATTTTAAATGTCGATAACACCTTCAAGGGTTGCACTTAACATGCTTACACATAATAATAATAATAGTGATGTGATCTATTAGTTTTATCATCGTCTATAAGAAAAGCATACTGGTGTTTGTTAAGAGAACTTTTTAAATGTGAGTTATATCCCGTCGATATAGGCATGTTAGTTTGTCCGATATTCCGTTTTTATGGTAACTATAGAAAACCTCAGGTATCATGAATCATCATTAACGCTTGCATTGGTTTGTCTTGGGTGGCAGGCAGAACCCATACCGCAAAAGCAAGAAGATATATTTAAGATATCTTTCGCCAACTCGCCGATTACTACCGTCACAATTCTTCTCACATTCTTCTCACGGCATGCAAAAAATATTCGTCCTTGTTTAAATTAATTAAGAAATGTGCTGGCTCATTATATTGATGTCTCGAACCAGTTTTTGGACTATGACCCCAGGTTAAGTAGAGAAAAAATGCGAAAAAAACACAGAGAGCAAGCGAGGAATTCTAGCAGAAGCCGAAGAGTGTCTACACATGAGCCAAAACTTGCTTCGAATCATCTCAGAATCCCTAATAGGACATTTCAGGCTGCGCAAGCTTCTGCTCGAAATAAAAATTGTGGAGGATGAAGCGCAAAATCTGCTTTGAGAGCAAAGAAAATTCGGAGCACATTCTGGACATTCCCCTTCCAGGCTGTAATTTTCTCAGTTGGAGGATTATACCCTTGATATTTAAAAGAGAGATAGAGCCCTAATGGCAGGAAAAGTCATAGCATTTCGGCATATGAAAGAATTGGATAAAAAACCTGTAAACCAGTTTATCCTCATATACACAGATAGTCGCACTGCACTTGACTTACGCACTCTTGAAATGCTTATTGTGTTTACCATTAAAACATCTTAAACATCATGCAGATAACACTGAGCAACGATGATGAGTACCTGGTGCTGGGCAATGATCAGCTGTGGGCTGTGATGGACATTGGACGTGCGGCACGGGAGATACGCAAGGAGGAGAATGCGCTGCTGGCCGCCAAGAGGTTGCTGGAGATAGCTCAAAGCTTTGGCGCCACAGCGAATCTCAGTGTGATTGTGGTGCGGTTCAGTCACCTGAGCACCGATGTGGATCATTTGATTCGGGAGCTGAAGCAGAGTGTGCGTAAAAAACCTGCGCTAATAAGCACGCAATCACCGCCGCCCAGCCTGTCCGTGAGCAAGCGCACCTGTTGTGATCGCAGCAATGCGTGCCGACATCGCAATTTGGAGCAGGAGCTGCTGGCTGGACGCTCTTCGCCCAGCGGCCAAAGCAATCCGGATTTGTTGAGCAAAGATGTGGCCACTGTGGCCAAGGACGAGTTCATATTGGCGCATGCGCGTGTGCTGCAGGAGGAACAGCAACTGGAAATGCTGGACGAGACGGAGTCGGTATTATCCGAAGAACAATTCAAATGCTGGGAATATATGCTGGAGCAGAACACCCAACTGCTGTTCGACAAGGAGCTGAATACAATATCCAAATCATTTACCAAGCAGCGACTGCCCACAGCCGGCAACGATTGCAACGATCTGAAGTCGAATCTCATACGCAACGTGACCAACAAGTTCATCTCGAGCAGCACACCCCAGTTGACCCAGCCGCATCCTCCGTTGGCTGCCTATCAGCAGTTGAAGCAGCAGCTACCCACCGAACATTTTGGCAGCATGCGCTCCTTCCAGCAGTCCCCCAACTATGGCTACAATCTCTTCGATGGCAAGTCACGGGATGTCTATGCCAAGTTGGGCGGTGGACCACATGCCGCTTACTTTGGTTCCCTGCAGCGGCGCATGCCCTCTAATTTTGAGTATGATTTTCCTGTTACGCAGGAGAGGGATCATAATATTTTGGATGAGGAGGAGTTGGACGAGGATGGCTTTTCGGAGCATGAGAGTCGCATGCGTAAATATTGGGGCGTGGCAACCACTGAGCTGTAGGCGAAGGCGGAAGAACAAATTTTGCATTTGTTTGTTGTTTAGTACTTAAATTATAAAGAATATAAATAGGTTGGAAATGGAATGGAGAACAAAGATGGATGGCATTATATCAACAATTTAACTGCTATAATTGGAGATTATAGTATAAGATATGCATCGTATTAGAAGAGCCGGACGCATAGTTGTATATATATAATTAAAGCCTTATAAAATAAAAGAATATAATATCTATATATAAAGTTTTTATTATCATTATTATTATCATTATAATAACCATTATCATTATTATTATCATTATCATTATTATTATCATTATCATTATCATTATTATTATCATTATAATCACCATTATCATTATTATAATCATTATCATTATTATTATCATTATCATTATCATTATCATTATCATTATCATTATCATTATCATTATCATTATCATTATCATTATCATTATCATTATCATTATCATTATCATTATCATTATCATTATCATTATCATTATCATTATCATTATCATTATCATTATCATTATCATTATCATTACCATTACCATTACCATTATAATTATCATTATCATTACATTATCACCATTATCGTTATTCTCAACGTTATCTTTATAAATATCATTATCACTTTCAATTTAATTAGCACTTTTATAATTATTATCTTTATCACTAGCGTAATATAGCGTAAGAGAGAGAGAGAGAGAGAGAGCGAAAGAGTAAAATACCCTTTGTAAAGGAAATATAAAAAGGACAGAGGTCGGTTGAGATACAGTAAACAAGCAATATCAAGAGTCAATGATATATTATTATGTCGTCTAAGATTGATAGCTAGTTGTCTATAGCAGAGACATTTTCTTACAGATTGCCCTTCTATGCGATTTTTAAGAGCTCAAGTAACATCATAGAAAATAGGAAAAAAGTAGGAAAATCTGCTGTTAAGAAAAGGGGAATTTTAAAAGGCTACTGATTCATCAAAATGTAAAATAAGCTTGTAGGTAGAATGGGACTCCCATCACTCGTTTCAGTGAATTTAATTTCGTTTTAATTAGTCTAATATAATATGTCGGCTCTTCGGTGTGTTTTCCCTGCTGTGTCGTACACGTGGTAAAATTGAAACGAAATTTAAATGGAAAATTTAAATAAATTCTTTGGAATCAATAGGCGTTGTAACAGCAAGCTGGCATAATTTAATAATAATAATAATACATTTAAATTCTATGCTTTTACGTTGATATGATGGACTTTATCACGCGGTCCGCGATTAGTTATCAAAACAATATAATGAACCGGTTTTCTAGCTTAATATGCCAACTTTATCAGCATGAAGAAGCCAATGCGTCTAGCCGCCGTCTGGCCTAATATTGAACCCGTTTTACGTGGACAAACATCAAACGAAAATCGTATAAATTGCTGATGTGCCCATCATAGCCGAGATAGTAGTAAAAAGAACATCGCATAGTTAGTAGCCCCAAAAATAAATTAAAATGAGAATCCTGGTATGTTTTGCTTATGGTTGTGGTTTTAAGCAGAAAACTGAATATTGTCCTGGTGTGATCCTCAGTTGGTTGCGTTCATTGCGATAGCCACGTTTGCTTCGGCTTCGGCTCAGTTTGGTTTTGGAGGAGGCTTTGGTGGCGGACTACAGCAGCAACAGCAGCAGCAGCAAGAAGGATTCGGAGGCTTTGGCGGCTTTGGTGGTGGAGAACAACAGCAGCAACAGCAGCAGCAAGAAGGATTCGGAGGCTTTGGCGGCTTTGGTGGTGGAGAACAACAGCAGCAACAGCAGCAGGAAGGCTTCGGCGGCTTTGGTGGCGGAGGACAGCAGCAACAACAGCAGCAGCAGGAAAGCTTTGGAACATTTGGGGGGTTCTGAGGAGAATAGTAACAGCAGGAAGGATTCGTGGGCAGAAGTCTTTCAAAGACTATTAAACTAAAATGAGTCTTTATTTAAAAAAAGAAAATACGAATTTGTTAAGGCTTACGTTGAAAGAAAGCCTAATGTTTAGTGCATAGTTTAAAAACATATCAGTTTTAAAACTTTTGAATTGTAGCGCCAATAAAAAACTGCTTGCAAGAAATCTGTCAAGCAGTTACTGATGTAATTTATTCGTAATCAAGAAGTGCGCTGCTTGCTTAGCTCATGTCCTTACATTCGCATTTGGCCCATAGAGGGCAACCAATGCGAAGCAAGAAAAATCGTTAAAAAATTAAAAAGTTCAATAGAGCGCCGAAGGAGGGCTAACAATGCGAAGCATGAGAAAACTCAGAAATTAAAAGGTGCAACAACTTTTATACCCTGAACCCATTAATAATGGGTATAAGGGTATATTGTGTTTGTGCAAAATCCATATGTATGTAACAGGCAAAAGGAAGCATCTCCGACCCCATAAAGTATATATATTCTGTTTTATGGGCAATTTTGGTAAATAATAAGAGCTAGAATCACCAAACTTGACATATAGCTTCTAAAATAGAATATATATATGCATTTGATGTTGTAAGGAGGGGGTTCAGGGTATCCCCTAGTTGGGAGCTCCCGACTAGAACCTCTTACTTGTTTTGTATTGATTTATGTTTTAAACATAATTACACGTCTTCAGGTAAATTAAGAGTTCTTAATCAAGAACAATTTAATTATTTTGTGATATATGTATCACGAAATTGACAATCCTTATGTTATTATTTAAAATTATATTAATTGATCTGATTATTCATTGCGGCATCAAACAAGCGCACTCAAAAGTGCCCATTAAAATTGAGGACTTAATTTAACAAGCATAAAACACACACACGCACACGCACATAAGTTAATCCATGTAATAGGTACATGCCTCAGACATTCATTCATATATAGGCTGTGGGACTAAGGCCCCGTATTTGTAAGGTCACTGAGGCGCATAATTCATGTCAATATCAGAACTCATTTACTTGCGGTTGTTTTTAGCGACGCGCTGCGAAAGAAAATTCATCTAAGTGGCAACGACATCAATGGGGCATGTGCGTCGAAGAGGGGGGTGGGTGGGTGAGTTGCCAGAGAGATATTTGCGTGTGGCTTTCTAATCATTTCGAACCGCTCAAGTGTATTACCGTTATAGGCCGCGTTAACAAGGCAAGCAGCTGACATGCGTTGGGCAAATATGAAACTTTTCTGGAAGCACATCCGTTATCCGATCTTAAGTAGTGTATGCCAACGGGAGGCTGGTAATTTTAATTACTTTTTCGGTCTCATTTGTTTCCACTTGTTGCCCATCAGTTAAAACTTAAGTTGAAGTTGAAATGACAATTCCCTTTCCGCCGCACCATTCAACCATTTCCATTCACGATTCGCCCAAAACCATTTTCATTTTGAACATTTTACACTTGAAAGCCTCACACTGATGTCTATCACAATGCCCATTGCAACTTATTGCTGTGGCTACTTTTAATACACTAAATTAACTTTTCGGGCGATTCACTCATTCCAAATGCCGCCCACAAAACCCACCCACGATTTGTCAAGCAAGACGCGGATTCTATCTGCCGTTTATCTCGCCAGTGTTGATAAATAGCTTTGTGGTAATTAATTTGGCGTGAATGAAGTGCAGGGAATAGAACAAAAATCAAGTATAAAACAAGTATATGCCAGTCTTGGTAAATACAAATAATTTAATTCTCATTGCTGTCAAATCAGATTATTTAAATTTACCTATATCTATATAGAGTGTCTGTAAAGAAGATCATGCAGTTCAACTCTTCAAAAGATGGGAGTAGAAAGCAGAAGGGATATTTAAAGTAGAATATGTATATAAACACATTGTGAGCACAACATAAGATATCCAGATATTTATGGTGTAAAACTCATTTTTAACAACTCAGATACTTGAAGCTGTAAAGTATTCCACAATTTTTCCAGCGGCTTGAGCTTCGCGTAAATCACAAATTCTATTTTCAATAGAATATTAGGGCATCAAAACATAAAATGCCTGCCAATGTTCATAAATAGGCTGGCAATAATATGAGTCATATAAATATAACAAAAATTATATCAATTTGCTTCCTCGCTATAACTCGATGATTAGGCAAATTTTTGTAAAAATGTGCCGGACAAATGATTAGCATCCATCGACCCTCTCAGGTTGCTGACATCGTCGGCTAAAGCAACAAGAAATCTAAACAAATCGAAACGGGTTTACAGTTTGAAGGGGGTCTACCCGGGCTTGGCTAAATATTCAATTAGTTTCTCAAAAACAAAATGTGATATAAAAAGACAAATGCTGACCGTAGACAAAATAGTCACAAAGGCAACCAACAATTGCGTAGATCGTCAAGCAATATGAAATTCGTCGTAAGTTTTATAACAGCATACATCAGAACGTACTTAGAAAAGTCGCATTTTTAGCTGCTCATCTTCATAGTTCTCATGAGTTTTGCCTGTTCAGCGGCTCAATTTGGATTCTGGAACGCCTTAGGTGAGCAGCAACAGCAGCAGCAGCAGCAACAGGAGGCTGGCTCGGGACAACAGCAGCAACAGCAGGTGGAGAAATTTGAAATAGACAGTCCATTCGGTGGCGGCATCGAATTCATCCAGGAGCAACAACAGCAGCAACAACAATCAGTTGGCGGTGCTCAGCAGCAGCAGCAGCAAACGGAGGACGAGCTGCTAATAAGAGGACCCTTTGGCGGCGGCATCGAGCTGGAGCTAGGACAACAGCAACAGCAGCAGCAGCAAAATGGCGGTGGGCAGCAACAATAGCAGCAGCAGCATCAGGAAAATCTTTTTGAATTTTTTGGATGAATTCCTAATTCTTTCCAAAGAGTGGAATTTATTATGAGCCAGTAATTAAAGGCCTCTAAAAAGCCTTGCCATTTACTCAGATGAGCTCTCAGAAAATAGTACAAACTAGTTCTTTGATCACATAAGTCAAAGAAAACAAAAATATTTGGAAAATATTTGTAAACGTAAATATATATAAATGAATTTATTAATGAGTTTCGAAAAAAAAGAAACATGCGCTCATTCAAAAGAAAATCCGACAGAGAAACTCTTAAATTTGGAACCCAGAAATTTGGACAAAATTGAATCGGAACTTTTTTTAAAGTTAATATATTTTCTTTTTTTTTTATTTTAATTTTAAACCCAAAGAGTCTTCATATGGAAAGCAGACCTTTTTAATATTTTATCATCATTTAATGAGCTAAACTGAGCTCTTCTGCTGCTGACCAGATAATTTAACTGAATGAACCTAATCCAACTACATTTTATTCATAATTCAATTGCGTTGCTAAATCTGTTAATAAGCTACCTTTAGAGGCAACTATAGATCCGACTCGGTTGGAAACGGATGCGGCAATGCTAAGGCAACCTATCAACACATCCTGCTACCGCTTAGACACCTTCAAAACTTTTCTCATTATATGAATCCGCACACATACATCCATAGAAGTTACCTGCTGCCAGCTTCCTGCCAGAATAGCAGTGCTCCCCTCCTGCCCCTGCTGCTGCCCCTGCTGCTGCTCCTGCTGCCACAATGCCAGCTGAACGCATCGGCGCTTTCAATGACTTCCGTCAGCGCCGACACACTCGACGTGTAAATTTGCATTTGCTTCTAATTACGTAGAACAGCAAGGTGTGAGAAGAAGCTGGAGGTAGAAACTGTTCGAAGGCCGAGCTGCTGCCACGCCCTGCAGCCAAAGAACGCCCGCATTAGGAGCAGCAGACGCTTGCGGCAATTGCAATTTAGAATTTCAATTATATTTATATTTTTTATGAGGGCTTGCCAACCCCTCACCAGCCCCTTCCCACTCGCACACCTAGAACACACGGAAACACTACAAATCAAGTGCCACGCACGCAAATTTCCTTTAATTAAAACGAAACTTTTAAGAGTTTCGCCTGCGGCTCTTCTTCAGCCTTGCCCGAATGGCAGCTGCATCCGTATGCGTATCAGATCTGCATCTGCATCTGCATTTGGTAAGCACCGGAAAATTGCTTGGCTTCAACTTAGGAACTTAAGGCTAGGCGATGTCATCTGCCAGTTGTAGTATTTGTTGCCAGGCCAAGTGCACATAACTTGACGCCAACTTTGGCAAGAGTCTTTCGCACGGTAAAGTCAAAAAATAATGATGCCTGCACAAGGTGTGAAAACTTTCATTTTAATAGAGAACCAGCTCTTGACTAGTTTTTTAAATGTTTAAATACTGGATCTTGTTGCGAAAAGGTTTCAAACCAAGTCAATTTGAATTCATTTTCCGGTATAGGCCGAACTTTAGGCCAAGAAAATGAAACTGTACTAAAAACACGAATCAAAGTTAGTTCGAACAAAATGGAAATACCAGGACAAGGCGCAGTCAAGATTCGTAAGATTGCCCTGATAACGTTGAAATGGAAGATATAAGTTTTGCGGAGCTCTATCTGAGGATTACGTCTTGGCTTTCTTAAACTGAAAAAATGGATTCAAGTAGGCGGTGAAAATTGTGAAATTGTCTTATTAAAATAATTGTTGAACCACTTGACGTACTATATTTTATACAACACTTGCATTCTGCAAACCCCAAACAAAACGTACATTTTTGGAAATTCGAAGAAAACCTTATAGAAGAAAAAGAGAAACGCGTTGACTTGAGAGTTCGTTGCAAGTTCGTAAGCCAACAAAATACCCGTAGGCAAATGTCCTGGATGGGAAAACGCGGCTATCTATTGTGCGGCGATATTTGAGTAGTTGATCAGGATATCATTGGATTGATTGCCATTCGCAGAGTTAACGTTTGGAGCACAAAACCTAGGCACAACACTCGGATAACAGACTCAACCAGCTTAGCTGCAAACGGTTTGTTACGAAACAAATTTTGTTTTATTTGCCAATCATAAATAGGTTTTGTCATATATACACAGACGCTGCTATATGGAATTGCTAGCGATTGGCGACAAGATCAATATAAGACGATCCGACGGATGCATACAGTCCGCGAGAGTCGGATTGAAGAGTATCGAGCGACAAATTGTGACCGTTGAATGGACACAGGGCAGCAAGGTTAAAGGTAAGGAAATACCCTGGGGCTCTGTATTGGAGCTGAATCCGTCATTAGCAAAGGTCAAACAGAAATTGCCGCTGGAAAAAAAGGTAGAACAGCAGCCGAAAATGGAATCAAAACCGCACAATCTATCCGGCTACAATATGTATCGCAAGAAGGCCACAAACAGCCCATATAAGAAACGCCTGCGCGCCGGCAATCGCTGCGATGGGGGCACCAATTCGCCGGCTGTTATAAAGCCATTGAAGCCGCCAATTCATGCCGTGTTGGGCGTTGTCAATCCGGCAATTAATACGGAACTGACGGCGGTCAAGGGCACATCGAGCACTTCGAGCGTTCGGCGCTGCTCGAGCGTTGTCCGCGAGGTGGAACGATTGAAGGAACAGCGGGAACGTCGACGCGCCATGCAGGCCGAGCAGCGGAAGGAGCAGTGCGCCCTGAAGAGTAAAGACCCGGGTAATCCCAACTGGGAGGTGGCCCTAATGGTGCGCAATTATCGTGATCAGCTGCAGCTCAATCCGTTGCGCTACTTGAGTCCGCGCGGTGCTCGCGTCCAGCAGATCACCGTCTGCGTGCGGAAGCGTCCAATGAGCCGGCGCGAACTGCAGGCCAAGGCCGTCGACATTATATCGGTGCCCAGCCGTGATTCGCTGATCATTCACGAGCTACGCAACAAGGTGGATCTGACCAAGTTCTTGGAGCACCACAAGTTTCGCTTTGACTACACCTTCGACGAACAGTGCAGCAATACTCTGGTCTATGAGCACACAGCTCGTCCACTGATTCGCACCATGTTCGAGGGCGGGAATGCCACCTGTTTTGCCTATGGCCAGACGGGCAGCGGCAAAACGCACACCATGGGCGGCGAGTTCTGTGGAAAGGTGCAGGATTGCACAACAGGCATTTATGCTCTGGCCGCCAAGGATGTGTTCGCCGAGCTGGCCAAGCCGAAATATCGTGATATGGGCGCCAGTATCACATGCAGTTATTTTGAGATCTACGGCAGTAAGGTAAAATACAAAATGTTCATCGATCAAATAGGGCTGCAAAATTATCGATAGTTGCTGTAATCGATAAGTTTGATGGACTATAAATTTAAGCAGCGATAGCAATATTACGCAATATTATACCAGAGATTTAGTGTGCCTAGATGATCGATAGTTGCGACAGTCGATACTTTATCGGCTATCGAAATTGAAAGCTTATCGATAATTCTTGCTATTTATACTATGAATAGTGTTGTTTTATTTAAGATATAATTTTATTTGTTCATAAGGATCATTTAGGGCTTAAAAAGTTTTATTGTATGTACAAAAGCTATCGATGCGGATGATCGATAGTGTATCGATAGCTTTCCATCTGTTTTCCAACCGTAACCCAACCTACCTAATTAGGTTTTCGATTTGCTGCTGCCGGACAAACCGATGCTGCGCGTCCTGGAGGATGGACGCCAACAGGTTGTAATTTGCGGCCTGACCAAAATGCCAGTTACTAAGGTGGAGGATGTGCTGGGCATCATCGAGCAGGGCAATCGGGAGCGTACCTCGGGCCAGACATCTGTGAACATCAAATCGTCACGCTCGCATGCCGTCTTCCAGATGGGCCTGCTCATGCCCGATCAGTGGGAGCCGTGCGGCAAGTGCTCCTTTGTGGATCTGGCTGGTAATGAGCGTGGCGCGGACACACAATCGGCCAATCTGCAGACGCGTCGCGAGGGCGCCGAAATCAATAAGTCGCTGCTGGCGCTGAAGGAATGCATTCGTGCCTTGAGTCGCCATTCGAGTCATTTACCGTTCCGTGGCTCCAAGCTGACGCAGGTGCTGCGGGATTCATTCATTGGCGGCGAGCAGAACAAGACATGCATGATAGCCATGATATCGCCGGGTCTCAGCTCCGTGGAGAATACGCTCAATACGCTGCGCTATGCGGATCGTGTCAAGGAATTGGTGGCCAAGGAAGAAGATCCTCTAGAAGCTGACTACGATCAGCCAGTTAAAATTGATGAGAAGAACTCCTCGATTGATGACGATGTCAAGCATGACACAGAGTCCTGTCCGGAGTCTGATGTCTCCGAGTCGGAGGAATTTGACACCGAACTTATGGACGAGCCCAGAAGCTTTGTTGACTTCAACTCCAGCCAAGCCTCGGAGGGCAACAGTTCATTTCGTAAATGTGACAGCAATCAAGACCTGAGCGATGCCGACGCCGACGTCGATGGCGATGGCGATGGTGACGGGGAAGTTGACCCCGAACTAGGCATTCAGATATCCGAAGTTGTTATGCAGCACGATGTACTGTTTGAGTTTTTCTCTAATTTCAAGATGAATTTTGAGGAGGTTCTAGCCGATCCCACAACCCTGGACAAGAATTTGCGTCTATCCAAGTTTCTGCTGGAAGCGGAGCCTACTCTATGCGAACTGGAATCCCTTGTGAAGCATGCCCATAAGCTTGTCACCACCTACAATTCCCAGCGATATTTGGAGGGTGAACTGGATGACGGACAACAGCTTTCAGATTAGGGCTAACAAGTTAGAAAGACGCCAGCAAATCATCAAAAACAATTTATTTATTTTCTATCGTACGTCATATTGTATTATTTTTGCTTTGAGGATCTTCTAAATAATAATATAAATTTAATAAGAGGCAGTATATGAAAATTAAAAGCTTTTTTCTTTAAGATTTCGCATATTCTGCAAATATCTGTGAGATACAAATGTAGCTTTTAGGAAGTA